TAAGGGCAGATGTTGACAATTGTTGGATCACAGAGCATTACATGAGGGATTTTATAAGGGATTGCTCCAGCGGGACAGACTGGACAAGGTAAAACATGAAACAAGAAGCCTGAATCATGTAATACTAACCTGGTTTGATTTGCTCAGCAGTCAAGTTATGAACATCAGACGAATCCTTGAATATATAGGATAGTAAAAGTAAGTAAAAGTTTTTTTTTCAATACTTGAATTATGTCACTGCAACATCGATACTGCTTCTCTCCTTCACCTGTAGCACAGTATGGATTTCGTCCTGTACATGTGAAAGGGTTGTTTGGAGTACATGGCACACCGGTTCCTGAACAAGTATGATACGCCTAGTGTGGCTAATGGAAACTTCATACCTGGTTGAAATTCTGCACATTGTGAGATGGTGGGAACGTAAGTAAGATCTAGAGACTGCCAGCTATCAGAACAATCTATGAAACTTTAGATAAACCTCAGTAACATGGGTATTACCTGGTATTTGGGGTGGTGGCATGGGTACTTGAGCCTTTATAATTAAAATAAGAAAGGCGAACAGATGTATTCTCCATATCATTTTTGAAATGTGCAACTTTGAAGATATTTCAGAAATGAATTTGCTAGAAAATAAACGACGACGAGTATGATCAGAATTCACACACAAACAAACTGATTCGTGACATCCAAAAACGGCATCAAAGATAATCAAATATCATCTTTTCACAGCTTTAACCTCATCATCCTAAATGTTGACGTGAGGAGGAGGTTTTAAAGACAGAAGGAACACAAACAGATGATCGTGAGAGAATATGTTGATGATGCATCATGATCATCTTCTATTTTTCGCCTCTTTCTCTCTTGACTCTCTGGTCGTTTGTAGTTACTTTGATACCTGTGTTATCCAATACACTCATTTGCAGATAATGAACTGTTACTATGTTGTTTTCTTGCTACTCTTACATGCTGCAGTATGTAAACGACAGAAGAGAGATGACATATACGGTGATAGTAAGTTTCAAATCACCTTTTAAATCATCATAGGCATCATAACCATATCTTATAGTCTGTCCTTTTCCTTGGCAGACACATGAGCAGAATATTCTCGCAACGTACTCTCAATGTTCAGAAGTGGTTGATGAAGGTACTCTCGTATAGTATAAATTTCTGTCTACCATATCTTTCGATTATTTGAAGGAGTAAGATGTTCGCCGCATGATCCGATAGAGTGTACTGGAAGAAACCCTATTTGTGTTTTCTCCAACGTAACTGACGATTACCGATGTTGCTCAGACGTTCCACAAGATTTGAATAACCTGCCAGGAGTGTCGGAGCAAGTTAAACCAAGTAACATCTGACCATATGCAGTTCTTCTGTTATGGTGCCACTTTGTAGTTTGTCCTTATGGAGCTTCATCTTACGACATTCCATCAGTTTTACTATGTGACCCAGAAGAAGAAGATATTTGTCCGGATGACTATAAATGCGAGCAGGTTTGGAAGTATAGTATAGTTTTCAGTCCTCAGTTGATTAATGTTCCAGGCAATCAACCATCAGATGCTGGCTACGTTCAGCATGTATCTATGCTGCAAGACTTCAACGTTAGATAGTTTTGAAAACGGTTTTCTTTCAAACTATAACTACAAATAACTTCCTTTTTATAGTCTTCTATGAAACAAAAGTAGGGATCAACAAAATGTCTGCCAACCTGAGTATGCCTGTCTTTTACGTCACATCGTTATCTCCTTCCATCATTCCTCTCCCTCCAGGCAGTGGAATTGATTTCGTAAGCTTTTTCTTTCAAATATGAAGAATGTGCTTTGATTGTTACAGTGTGTGCTGAACGAATATATTCCTTCGAAAGGACCACTGCCGGAGATTCGAACAGGCGACCACTTCTCCATGCTTCCATATCGGTTCCGAGAACCTGTCTATCTGCAGAAAGTCATGCTCCTACATGATCAGCTACCAGGATATTTCCACCACGTTCTTGTACTCTTCAGTAATGGATCTGAACAAGAAACCTTTTTGATTGTCGTTATACTTCTCAGATCCTCATGGCAACCCAGAGTCCATGAACCTCTATTACAATCGTCCGTCATCTCTCAGTCGTGAAATAGACTTAAAAGTTGCAGCTTGGGATGAAGGAGTATTCTTCAGAAACATCAACCGAGTTTTGACGATACAGAATGACAAAATCTCCACAAGGCAGAGTAAGTTCTTTTCCAACAGATACATTAGTTCACCGAGGTGCTTTCAGTTAGAAAGCTCTACATCGTTTTAGTTTTCAAAACAAAGGTTCGTCTGACTAGAAGGCATCCACAGTTCTATCAGGTTTCTCATTCTTTTCCCTCATTATCTTCAAACTCCTTTTGAAGGATTTGCATGCCAACTATACTTCATTCACTGACTTCTTGTCAACAGAAACAGGAAAGTTCCTAGGAACTCCTACAGCGGGTAGCTACTTCTATGTAAGGATTGGGTAGAATAACAAAAAATTTAAAGGAATTTTCCAATTTTTATTATAATATCACAAGAAAAGAAGATTGAAAATTAATATTTTCAGATAACAAAGTGATGAAAGAAGAAGAAAAAAAGAAAAAACACTGTAACTGAGAATAGAGATGTTAAAGACTCTAGAATATCCGTTGAATACCTGTAATTGTACTTCTGCTAAACAAATTTTGAACGTCAATAACCATCTATTGTTTTATGATAAAACAAAATTATTTTTCGATTTAACGTTTTCTCTCCAAATATCATTGGAATCCATGCTGCTCATGTTGTTTGTAGCTGCATGATCATGTGCTCGTACGTCATTCAGACGATTCTTAAATATATTATTAATTGTAATAAAGATTTGACTATATGTATAGCTATTATTGTTATATAACTAACCACATATTCTGTATATTGTATATCACGGAAATATTTGAGTTGCTTATAAGCTTTCAATCCATAAAAGGCATTCAATGATAGAAGCAAAAACGATGAACAAACAGCTGCAACTGTAGTTGTTGTTGGCTCCAAGCCATATTCGTTTAAACACAATAATGTTATTACACAGCTAATTACCTGAAATAGTTGAATAAACATTGAAAAATCACTTAAAATACTGTTTTGCAACCGCTCGTTCGACATTGAAACATACAAAATGAAACTCGATTTGACTTCAACACACACAAACACACACACACACACACACGTACACAGAAATAGCATATCACGTATTTTCACGTGAAAGATCAATTAGCATATTCAAATAAGAATATGGTAATAAGATGAGAAATAAGAACAAAAAGAAAAGAAATTGATCTCTTCTCTTTGAATAATCATCAGGAAGCTTAGAATAAACATTGAAATAGGATATACCGTAAGAAACAACGTGATATACAGATGAGTCAGATCAGGATACTCATAGATGGGTATCAACCTCGTACGTGTAGTAGGTGAAAGCTCAACAACCGTTTCCATTGCCGGCATTGATGAACACAGCTTATCTCTTATATTCTCTGAATCTTCTTTCTCTTCCTCTTCAAGTCTATTGAGGAGTACCTGCAATTCATGAAATTATTAGAAAACATATGAAAGGTTGAAAGAAACGAAATGAGCCAAGCCTATCGATAAGATCATTATAAAATATGTTTTATCAAATAATATGGAAAACATACAGTTTATTAGCCATCAATCAATTCAATTCAAAGTTGAGAAATGAGAAGTGAGAACATACGTCTTTGATTATAAATGTAAAGATATTTTATAAAATATATTGTTTCATTAACACATAGTTAATGAAGACATTAAGCTCTAATGGGAGTTCTGAAGATGAGAAGCATGAGAAGTACAAAAGAGAGCGAGAGAGAGAGAGGAAGAGAGACAGATAAAGAAAGGGAGAGATGTGTGGGAGTGTGCATGTCATAAAGACAGTTCGTATTTAGCCTTCTTATCTATTCTCTTTGACCCTCCTTCTCTCCCTCTCTTGATCTCTCTCCCTCCCTCTCTCCCTCCGTCTCTCTGTCATCCATAATTGGACTTTAACTGAAAGAGAACCTTCTCTTCTGTTTTCATTCTAATAATTGTGATCGATTAAGTAAGAAAGCTGAAAGTTATCAGAAAATAAAATATTTACTACACACACACACACACACACACACACACATAGACACTCACACATAGACTCACGCTTCCTTCATGCCAAATATTTTTGTTAAAAAGACAGAGCTGTGTTCAAAGTTAGAAATGACAAGAATATAAGCAATCGATAATTGAACAATATGTCAAAAAAAATACTTGAGCAGTGATGAATTATAGGAAGAAGAAGAAGAAGAATGATTTGCAAAAGAAAATGAGGAAGTGAGGGAGCAACAAGGGCATTGCTTCAGATTGAGAGAAGAAGTACTTCATTCATCTTCGAACTGTAAAATATCTGAAACGAAGGAGAGAGAGAGAAGAAAAAAAAGAAATTTTGAGTAAATTAAAGACTAGAAATTAAGAATTTAGCCATAGAATACACAACGATAGATAGACGATGGTCGTTGCACAAACAGAATCCGACAAGGATGACAGACCGGAAGGCGTGGAATGTCTCTTGGAACCCGGTTTTTTTTTTATTGAAAACTATGAAACACATAGACAAACTGATAGAAAAAGCTAATTATCATATTGAACTATGTTATGAACGTGATTCAAGAACAACACCTAAACAAACAAACATTTCAAAAGGTATTTTGTTCTGAATGATGAAAGGGAACAAAAAAAACTTTTCAAAAACTGTTCTTCAGTGCTTGAAATTCATAAGAATGCATGGTGAATGAAGGAGATAAGCTATTAATAACTTCATAAACATCTTTCATGACATCTGAACTTATCAAGAATTCGCACAAAAATGATGATTATCCTTGCACTTTCTCTTAATTCTATGTGTTTTTTGTGGCCGACAAAACAACGAATCGAGAAAGCCATTTGGCTCAGAAACTCGCACACACACACACACACACACACACTAGCTCGATAGAAAGACGAAGAGAGGATACTGAGAGAGAGAGAGAGAGAGAGGAAGAGGAAGGAATGAAGGGGAGTTCTTGTAAGAGTCTCTCAGAGGTATATGAATGGAACAACAGATTAATGAAGAAAGAAGGGTAAAGAACACAAGGCTACAACCATATATAGTAAACTGAAGAGACAAAAATAAATTTTACACCGAAATGACACATAAATTGAGATCACACAATCTGAGGGGTAGAAAGGGTAAGAGGGGGAGGGAGGGTGTGTATCTCTCTGTGTTTCATTTAAATCCGTTTACTCTCTTTCTTTCAATATATTTCTTCTTTAACTTTTCCTCTTCTTCTATGCCTCCTTTAGCCTTTCTTAGTCTTTTTCCTCAATTGTGCTATCTGTTTTCTTCTCATTTAATTCGAAATCTCAATAGTTCTCTATGTCTTGCAGTGTCAGCACTTGGTGGTCAGAGCAAAGAAATGCAAATTCGATTTGATGGCTTCTAACGAGCAAAACGAATTGCCGAACTCAATGTCTTCTTATTTTTCTACTTATACACATGCTTAGATGTGGTTAGCGTCATTTTCATTCTCAGTGTCCTCATCATCTTCATCAACCAAGTTGTTAAGCAGCTTCTACTGCAACTCTTTCGTTCCTCTTCATTCTGCATGTCTTGCCTCCATTCTCAATAAAATTGAAATCTCTTAGATTTTCAACTCATCAATTTCATTTATTCATTCACGTAAAACTTCCAAGCAGAGAAGAGCCTTTACCCAAACGAGAACATTTCTCGTCCTTTAATCATTTCTAAACCTTAAATGTTTAAGTTGAACGAAGAATAAAAACTCACCCCCCCCCTCCCCTCTCAACCCATCAATTTCCAGACTCAACCGGTCACTGCATCTTTTCAATCAAAAATGATCTTGGCGCTCTTCTCATTGTAAGTTTCACGCGGTGGTGATTCACACGTGATAACACCCAAAAACAACTTTATTTTATATTATTATAATAAACTTGAATATCAAGTATATATATACAACAGAGGTTTCTATGTCACATAAACTGATTATGCATTTCATATGTTGAGTGATATGTTGTTAACGACGATAACGATCACTTGTATAACCATCACGTCCTTGTTGAATATGATATACACGTCCGGGAGCATTGAAATAGACTTCTCGATGATCTGCATATTCTTTTTGAAGTCGATAAGATGCTCTAACAGCTCTCAGTATATAGCAAACAACCAATGATGAACAAACAAGTAAGACGATCAAGAACGAGATTATCATTAGCCACCTAAAAACGATTGAGACTTGTCTGATTCGCGAACGAAAGAAATCTTTTGAAAGAAAATCAAATGACATACATCATGAATTTGGGATCAATAGGAACACACATGAACTTCTCGCCTTGTCCATTACATTTATCCACAAATATGCATTCAGACTTGTCACAATGAGCGCGGCCTGAGAGATTTTGTGATGTCAATGAGTGAAATTCAAACTAACAGATATCCAAGGTATTATGACATACTAGCTGATCAGTGTATACAGCATTACCCATCTTGGTTGTGCTGCTGCAATGGTTAACAGGTTAAAACATGAGGTATGAGATTTGAGGGAAAATGTTGAACAACACAATAGTATAATCAATGTGATATGGATGATGTTAGAGGGGGGAAGACATGAAAGAACTGAGAAAGGAAAAGAATGAAGGCGGACTGAACTGGCCAACGCCCCACAAACCTGAACATCACTTTTCAGATGATAAAAACAGAAGTTAATTTAATGTCAACTTTAATGTTCGAATGAGCTAGTGGAGTAAAGTGATCATAAGTCTTATTGTTCTTTCAACATAAACATTCTTGTTGCAATCATCATACAGTTCTATTTCATTTATGTACACGCTTAGTTTTGGGAGTTGATGTCAGAAATATTTTTCTTTTTCTTTGTTCCGAAAGAATTTTGCTTTCAGCATTCCTCTTGGTTAAAGGAGTTTGAGGAAGTTGCTTCGCACTTACTTCTTCTCTGCAACCATTAGTAAGCATGATGAAACAAGTTAGAAGTCTTACTTCTTTGGATTTTCCTTATCGACATCTTCATCCTCTTCCGCTTCAACTTCGAATCCATAAACATCAACAACAGCTTCGTTCTTTGCACTTTAAAACCTTTTGTAACAAATCAACAAAAAAACAAATACACAAACTTTTTGTTAACATCGTTCACATCGTTCACATCATCATCTTCATCATCATCATCATCCTTCTTCTTCGAATTGTCAACTATCTAGAAATGAACAAATTCAAAAACTATTTGTTTAAATATTTCACTCACCTCAAATGTCAACTCAAACTCTTCAGCTTCGTTAATGGAAGCGTTCAAAACACTAATTTCAGCCAGAGTTTCTGGGCTTGGTTGACGAACTGAACGAGTGCTTCTATTCAGTTGATCATCAGCTTCAGATTCCTTTGATTCATCAGACATTTCAATGCAAAAAAAGGGTGCAAAAAAAGTCAAACGTATTCAAACTTGACAAGGGTCGATAAGCGCTATTCAAACGCGTCTTTTCGCGCACAAGGGTTGTCTCGCGGAGGCATCAAAGGCCGCGACGCAGCAGCTGTCGCGTGTTAGCACAAGGAGGCCTCAGGGGTTTGCAGGGTATATATACAGACACGAGTGAATTCTCGCAGAACTTTATAGTTTGTTAATTTATTCCTATTATGTCTGGCCGCGGTAAAGGTGGTAAAGGACTTGGAAAAGGAGGTGCCAAGCGCCATAGAAAAGTTCTCCGTGATAACATCCAAGGTATCACAAAGCCTGCTATTCGCCGTCTTGCCCGTCGTGGTGGAGTTAAACGTATTTCTGGACTTATTTATGAGGAGACTCGAGGAGTATTGAAGGTATGTAGTTTAATAAAATAGTTATTTATTGATTATCTTCTACAGATTTTCTTGGAGAATGTCATCAGAGATGCTGTTACATACTGCGAACACGCCAAAAGAAAGACCGTTACTGCCATGGATGTCGTTTATGCCTTAAAGCGTCAAGGCCGTACCTTGTACGGGTTCGGAGGATAATTATCTTTCTCATATATGAACAGTGTAAATAATGTGTTGTATTATTAAAATGCAAATAAATATTAATTTTCGAAAAAATTATCGATTTTCAGTTTTTAGAGGAAGTGTATTTGGTCACGGCTTTGGTGCCTTCAGACACAGCATGCTTCGCAAGCTCGCCAGGCAAGATTAGTCGGACAGCTGTTTGAATCTGAAAATGTTATGAAATCATGGATTGAAATTCTGCATCAATTACTTCGCGAGAAGCGATTGTGGAACGTTTATTGTATTTTGCCAATCGTGCTGATTCACTGGCGATTCTTTCGAAGATATCAGTGATGAATGAGTTCATTATGGACATAGCCTTAGATGAGATACCAGTCTCGGGGTGTACCTAGACCATATACGGATCACAAAACTTGTAAAGACGAAAACTCACTTGTTTGAGGACTTTATATACATATCCAGAGTAGCTTTCCTTTCTGGCCTTTCTTCTTTTTTTGTCGGTACCAGCCCGATTTGCCTTCTGAGTTTTACCCGGCTTCTTTGCTCCCTTAGTAGCTGGTTTAGGGTTCATTGCTGAAATTGTAATAATAATGATCATAAATAAGAAAATAAACAAGTAAAGTAGAGAATATTTCGCTGCAAATCTGCAATTTTCGTTTAAATATACTTTTGCAAGCCGTCATCTCCGCCCCAGTTAAAAATGGGCGGAGCCTGCGCGCTATTACAAATCTATACTTAAATCTTGTTTTGGAGTTATCAGATAATTTTGATTTAGTTTTCACTTGAATTTTTGTTGTTTTCGTGTCATCGCTTGAAACCGTAACCAATCTGTGTTTTCATCATGAAAGTATTGATTTTTCAGTTAAAATGAGTGCTCGAGGCGGAAAAGGAGGTAAATCTAAAACTGGAGGAAAAGCCAAGTCTCGTTCTTCGAGAGCTGGATTGCAATTCCCTGTTGGTAGACTTCATAGAATGCTTAGAAAGGTAATTGTACGTCGCTCATCTGTGAAAGAAGTTATTTGGAGGGAAACTATGCTCATAGAGTAGGAGGAGGTGCCCCAGTGTATCTCGCTGCTGTATTAGAATATTTGGCTGCTGAAGTTTTGGAGTTAGCCGGAAATGCTGCTCGTGATAATAAGAAATCTAGAATCAACCCTAGACATTTACAGGTTAATTAGAGAAACTAGTAAGTGTCTATCATTGGTTTTCAGCTGGCTGTTAGAAATGACGAAGAACTGAACAAGTTACTTAGTGGTGTTACTATTGCTCAAGGAGGAGTACTACCGAATATCAATTCCACACTTTTACCCAAGAAAGTGTCAAGCGACGAATAGTTTGCTTAAAAAATATAATTTCCTTTCATAATAAATTTTTTTTTCCCTATTTTTTGAAGCTGTTAAAGAAATTCCCGATGAACACTGTATTGTATGTATTTTCCATTGAACATGTTTGAACATTAGGTTGAGATTCATCAGCACGCGGTCTATGCAGTAGAGTATCATCAGAGCTGCTGATAATGTTCTAATGAAAGGAGAGTACACTTGAGGTGTTTTTTCTCTTCAGCTGGAGAAATAAAGAACAACTTCGTAACCGTTACGAGGTATACTAGTAGATGTAGCATCGTTCCAAGAACTCGCCAGACGGAATCTACTAGTACGTGACTAGTACCTAGTTGGATAAAAAGTTTCAGCTGTTTCATTAGTCGTTTATTTTTACTAAAAGTGAATATTGGTTGATATAAATTTCAAAATTGAGTCATTCATGACCAAATGAACTAAATTAGAAATTAGTTTAATGCATATTCAATTTATTTAGAATATTTTGCTGAGAACCCCTATCGATATTTGATTTCGAAAGACATTGAAATCATTTTTTCTGAAATGAAAAGATTGAAAGTAGGATGAAGTGAAAATAAAAAAGATTTATTGAAATAAACAAAAGATTAATTTTGTCTTTCATAATCACGTTGATAACCTCTTCCTCCTCCATAAAGTCCTCCTCCTCTAGATCGATTATTTCTTCATCATTTCCGGAAGTGTATAAATTAAAAATTTCGTCATGATTATCCAATATCACAGATTCCACTCAAACGAGACCGTCTCCTACTTTAGAAAATTATTTCTGCCTAACTGAAACATACAACAGCCATAAGACTGTCATGTAAGAGTGAGAGTGGGGCTCTCTTCAGGTATGTGTAGACTATATGAGACTCAATGTAGTTTGTATGATCTGTAGTTTGGTAGTCATGTATTTCCAAAATATTCTTGGTGCATAGGGCTCTGGTATGACAGAAGTATGAAAACATGTTTCAGGAAAGACTTTATTCGAAATTGATAAAAACAAAACTGTTTTGTTTGCAAAACAATTGTTAATTGAAGTTGATGATTTCGCTGATGTCATGGATGTTAACGAAACCTTAATTAACCGCCCGAAGAATGTTTTTTTAATACAGAAGTTCACACGTGAAGATATGATCAATATGATATACTATTAGTAGTCTATCTGTTTCTTAACAGATAAGGTAATCTCTTGAAACAATTAAAACAATATGATATCCAATGGAGCTTGAAGCAAAGACAACAGTTTACATCACCCAGGTATGACGCATAATATTTGGAATGGCCAAATCAGCTTCCCACCGGATGAAACCTTCCTTGAAGCTTAACTGTTCATTAGTTGAAGGGAATTGGAAAGGATCTTTCACAAAAACACCCCTTCCTATCAGCAAATCGACGGCATCTTCGAGGAAAGGTGTGGACATATTCACCAAGAAGTTGATTGTCTGAAGAAAGAAATGGTTTAAACAGTTGGAACTATGATCAAACCTTCTGAGACATCAAACCAATCTTACTATCGATGAGCACTGCATTAGCATTCACCATGTTGATAAAGCCTTTCACTTTCCTATTCTTCATTTCCATCGTTAAAATGAATTCTGTTTCCATATGAATAGTTAATATGCTTCCATTCACTTTCTCAATCACTGGGTCAGGATAAACCTAAACCGACGACTCAACAAGCATTCTCAACCATTCGGTATATTCACCTCTAGAGAAGCGTTCAAGAAAACGACACTCTTTCCATCTTGTAACATAATAACTGGTGGGGACAATGTAGATGCCTGAAGTCGATATTCATGTATACTTCTCAATTGAAAGTTTTATACTTCAACTTTCATTGTGCTATTCGGTAACACCTCAGCCAGTTCAGGTAAGACAGTTCCTACACATAGTACTTCGCAATCAGTTCTCAAGAACGGAGTGTCCAACACAGTTCTGAAAATCTTGATGAGTTTTTTTTCAAACAAAAAACTAGCCTTAAATGACCAGCGAAATGAGCCGCTGTCAAAATACTTTGGACTGTCGGCTCATCAACAAACATATCAATCATTCGAGAAGATCTTCCAAAAGCACCTACAAACATTATTCGATCATGAAGATCTTTCCGAAACGCACCGATATCAGAAGTGGAGATATTTTCTAGCGGAGCACTCTCTACAAACTGATTATTCCAAGATAGATCACTACGCATTCGGAAATCGATGCTATCCTGAGTCATAGCTATTGAATGAAGAGATTGAACCAAAATAACCTAGAAAAAAAATGTGTGATAAAGGATTTGTAAAAAGTAGTCATACAGGAGGTTCTTGACTTATAGTCAAGTTTGTGGGGAAGTTACTCAGCTGTCCTTCTACCCATGGTAACCAATAATTTTCCATAATATGGCAATACTCCTAGAAAGTTATTCTCTGCTAGAAATAAAAGGCTACTCACTTCTTCCAATCGTCGTCGGATTGCACGTGTCACACTGGTGCGGAAAAATTGAAGTAATTCAGCAGCTATTCCACCGTCAATATTCAGACGTAAATCTCTGATTTGAGCATTGCAGTGGTGTACTTCTACCTCATGTTCTGATGTGATCTAAGGTTCAAACATTTATCTTTTTAATCACAATGCCATCATTACTTGCATAGCAATCTCTGATATTAATCCTGTCATTTGGGCAGAGATTTGCCCTTGTATGGGAAAGTCGAAAACGCTCAAAAAGCTGGACTGAACAGTCCATTCAGCGGACACCTATTACGAAGGTTAATGAACGAAGACAAGAGTTAACAAACTTGAGCATAGCCACTTAGTGTACTCATATAGAGAAAAGAATGGTCAGAAGGTCGAAACCTTAACAGTGGCGGAACAAACTTGTTAATTGAAATATTGAATACTCGTACTTCCCCAGAAGAGAAACTTGTATCATAATCTTGCTAAAATATCACATCATCATGAATAAATTCTGATGAAAACTAACTCTAATCTCAGGTATTCTCATATGAGGACCGGCCATAGCAAGCCACTGTCTTGTGAAATTTGCAGCTTCTCCCAAGCCATTTTCGTTCACTCGTAAGATCACGCTGGACACATAAGCTATCTTAACATACAGTTTGAGTAAGGATTGAAATGAATCAATGCGTATTTACCTGGATGAAAAAGAAAAACGTTCGGATACTTTGCATGTTCAGCTATGAGTAAGGGAATCGTCAAGTCGGGTGATGAATGAGACAACTGAAAGAATACTGATGAATACCATCGAACAAAACTGAAGAATAAAATAAATGGAGCAAGAAACAAAATCGAACGTTCACACTCTTCTTCCATATACTGCTTGTCAAATATGGCTTCTTAACGTGATCTTCACTTTCTTCTGTGACATTCTACCCGCACGGAGAACTCAACTGCTTTTGTTGACGTTTTGACATCTCCGAAGAATTCTATCTTTTTCTACTTGAGATTGAAAAAAACAAACTCGATGAGTACAAAAAACATACAAAAAGGTCAAAACTTCAGAAAACTATCTAAAGAAAAGAATGACCTGTTGGATAGATATCAAGCTCTTGGTGTTATGGGCAAGAATTCGTGATAGCCACCGTTCAGTGTCGCTTTAATAAGCTAATGTGTTTCAACATTATATCAACACAGCGATAATGAAGAAACACAAAACAAATCAAATGAAAATGATGGTAAAGAACAATAGGATCTCTCGTGATAATCGTGATAGCAGCCACTCAAATCCTCTACGAAATTTCATCTAACAACACATTGACATAGATAGACGTACCGAGAGATGAGACTCAATTCGAGGGTTGGCGGAGAAAAGTTGGGGGGAGCAGATAGAAGAAGGGGCAGTGTTGGTCGAAGAACTGTTCTGAAAATGCTGAATAAACAGAAACATCGGACAAAGGTCTGGTCACGTAAATGCGACATCGACACTCACTTTGTTCTTTTTTCCTCATTTTGCAAAGTTCAGGAAGATTGAGTTTTTTTTCAACTTTTCCACTCAGTCTAATGTTATTTCAATTCACGCCTCTGGGGGTACTGTGCTTATTCACAAATCTGAAGCAAATAAATGTCAAAAATGTGAAGGTTACGATGATTGTACTTGCAATATTATTGTTTAATTGAGCATTATAAAAAAGATGATGTTCGATGCTCAATTTCATATACTTTTTGAGAAAGCAAGTTGTCCAATACTAACGCATACTTTGTATCACTTGTTTTTCTATTTTCCTTTGCGCAGAAAAAAGAACACTCAGAGCACACCTTCCCATTATATTATCATAAACGACTGTGGTTACCTATTTCTTTTCAATTGTGTTGATCTGTCTGCAACCGGAGCTCCGAGGTATGCCAGTCCCTTCCTCTTATTTGCTTTCTTAGCGTGTTCTGAGACTCTTCACACCTTAAAGAGCGTTGAGATACATGAAAAGTCAAAGCGTATTGGCTTTTTCCACTTTGTCTTTGTGGTTTCGCAAATTGTGAGGAATGCAACAGTTCTGTTCGTCTTCCTGGTTGAAAATTGCCAGGAAACATTAGGATTTTTTATTTACAAATAATATAATATGATTATTTATGTTCGCACAAGAGGTTCAACGGGAGCATCTTCTCTCTTATCGAACGAAAAGAGGGAACCAAACAGTATGTGTTGTACTACAGGGAACTTTTTGAGTACCTAGACAATGAGTTGACATCTTTTAAAACTCATAGTTAATACCTCAGCTTCATACATCTTGAACATTCCGGAGTTCACTTTCTCCCATCCGGGAACAGCTGATATATTCCACAACTGATTTGAATGCTCGTGAAAAGCTCCTTTCTTAGTCTATAACAAACCATGGATTTACGAAGGATATTTTTTTAGCAAACCTGGTTGATGTACTTAATTGCTTCAAGGAACAAACTAACATGAGCTTGGGCTTCCACAGTTTCCGCGTTAGTATAGGAATCAGGAATCAATCGCTTATTTCCTGAAAGTAACTAAATCTTGATCATTTTCATAAACAACTTAATACCAATCAGCTGTGCTGATCCCCAGATGAATGGAACGAACTGGAAGTCATCTAAGGCATGTACACCTCTGCTTCCAGCAGGCTCCATGTGGTAGACGACTTGGAGCTTACGACAAACTTGAACATATCTTGGAGAAAAGACAATAACACAACGAAAGAAAAAAAAACTTACTTGTTAAATACACGTAAAGCTGTGGCTTGCCTGTCTTCATCAGTCAAAACATTAAGCTTGTGCAGGCAGATACAGAAGATAATGAAAGAAATTTCGTGTCCTAAAGTTATGGATGAGAGGCAAACCATGGAGAACTGTACCAGTTCCATAGTCGATTCTTGTAGCATTTCCAAACGCATCGCAAAGATAAGGAGCCAGTTCAATGCTCGCTTCTTGGTTTCCATTCTTCAAGACAAGTTCGCTAACCAACTTGACAGCATCCTAAAGCAATCCTTGCTTTCGATTTTAAAAAAGAATTTTACTTGCTCTAGCCGTTCATGCCACTTTCGGAATGCTTTGTTACCGTATCTTTGGCTTCCCATATCCTCAGGTGGATACTCAGATATCCATTTCTAGATATCCCTATATTATAGAGAAACAAATAACTCGTACTTCGATAGTTTCCAGCAGTTCTATTATACTGATCACATTGGTGGAGCATTTGATGTCATCAGTAGTCTTGACTTTGATGACAGCGTCATTGATAGCTTTCAAGAAACTCATTAACTCCTGATAACCCTGAAAACAGTTCGTGATCTTTGGAGAGGCCGCATCAAACCTCCGAATAGAACCAAGGGTTCAAATCAAACTGTTTGTGGATTTTCTTTGTTGGGACAACAAACGACATCTGCAAAGAAGTCAATAGGGAGAACATCAACATCAGAGATACATTGGTGTGCAACGCTGTTCGTACATCAAACAAAATGACAGAATTATATTTTTAATACGTAACTAAACATATTTAATATGAAAAAAGATTATATCAACTTAGTAGTCGATTTAATGTGGACCCAATTTTACTAGTTATCTTAGGATTATTAATGCTTGTGAAGAAATCGGCCAGCTCACTGCAATTGTAGAGAATCAGAAACATTTTGTGAAGTAATTTCCTACCGAATCATCAAGGTTGGATAGTTATTAAGTTCTTGGTTGAGTATATCCAAAGCTAGTTCAGTTTCTTCGTTATCTTTCGATTCAATAACCTAAGTAACACCAGTCTCCAACATAATTTCTGACTCATACTTACCGTATTTGTGAGGGAAGTAATAGATTTCACTAGATTATCGAGTCGCCACCTCTTACCTCGGAAGGAAACCCGATTAGTTATTTGGCAAACATGCAAACCTTGATCGAGATATTAGTGATAACGGAAACAGTATACTTACATGGGAAAAGCTTTTCTACATTTTGATACAATTGACTTAGTTTCTCTACGCGCTCTACTGATTTCTCTTTGGCTTTCAAGTCAAGAATGACTTGCACAACTGGTAGTAGAATATCGAAATCAAATGTGTCAACCTAATAAGACTTTGTGGTGCTAGAAGAGATGGTACAAACTTACCATTTTGTTGATAAGGTCTACTCCTTTTGCCATATGTTCCGCGCTCTGTAGGGATAAGACGACAATGTATTCGGACAACACTGAGATCTTTGCAGGAGTGAAAAACGTTTTAAACTCTTCAGATATACAACTTTGAACAAACTCATAAACTAATGAAGGATTATATCTGGAATCAACATTGAATTGCTGACTATGAAGCCTCACAAACCTAGGATTCAATGAACTCAATAGAATGTTCAATATTCTTTCTTGAGTTTCCAAGGGACTTCTGAGAGACAAATGAGGAACCAGACATTCTGCTCCGTTCGTGGCAGAGAAAATAGACAACAACTATAAAATGTAGAAGTCATATTAGCCTGATTGGAAAAAGCTACCTGACTCTCCACGTCTTCAGAACGATCGTTTCTTGCTATAATCTCTGGTTTCTGTACCAGGTACGTATTCAAATATCTAGAAAGAGAAAGAAATAATGTAAATGTGGGGAACAGATCTTACTTCGATCTCTCCATATGAGTCATCTCTTCACCGAAGTTGAGAACTTTCAGAATTTCATCAGCATTCAAATTCTAAAGCAATGAAAGTTAATATTCTAAGACAGCATGTGTGATTTACTATTTGAGTAGATTTCGTCGAATTATCGCTGTTAAACTTGGCCATGAACTCTTCCATATGAGCTGTTGAATGTTTTTGAACTAATATCTGCCTGATCAACAAAAAGCATTCTGTTTTCAAGTCCGGATGCTAAACAAGGGTGAACAAGTAAGAAATAATGAACAAGTGAGAAAACCCACTTTCTGAGAAATAAGAAGAGCCATATACAACACATCATTGAAGCTCTTGCTTTCAGCTATTAGCTGGCTCTTATATTTCTTAAACGTAAAGGATTATATATATGAATACTTCTATCAAACTTCAATGAGCTGCAACAGTGTTTTGGCTGCAGAAGGAGATGATTGGACCAATGCTAAGACACTGGTTGGGAATGTCTGATCCTTGGAATGATCAATCTAAAAGTACTGGGTGTGCGACTGTCATTATCATTATCTTACCGTCATATTTACAATTAGCGCTTCAATTTCTGACTCTTTCAAGTCGTGAACAGCATTTATGTTGGTTTCGTCAACCTCCATAGAGAGCTCAGAACTTTTCAAGCTGAACTTCTGTTCTTCCTGCCTACTCTCTGATTTAAATGCTTCTAGCTTGCTCAAGATCTTAAATATAACAATGCATGGAATATCGAGTAGTTCCAACCTTGTCTCCGCCTTCAGCTCCTCTTCTTTTATAAGCTATAATGAAGGGTCTGATGGCTAAGCAATCCTTCTCCTTCACCATGGTAGTATCAATATTATCTATTATTTTGAGCAGTTGACCTGAAAATGTTCATAAACCCGAACTCATGCTACCAACATACTAGCTGAGTAAACTGTCAGACCGAATGATGATATCAATCTCAATGCATCCACACTTGATATTCGATTCAAAGCAATCTGAATACAATTTTTACAGATGAAGAAATTATAAGAAGAGAACCTGAACTATTCTTTGATCGGAAGAACATAACATCGGCGCTTGAATATGGGAATCAAAAATTTGAACTTCAGCCTCTTCGTTCAAGACATGAGGAGTTTGTCCATTATCAGGAAACCAGAACTACGAAAAAATCTGTACTCTTCGGACTGTTTTCATGTGGCTTACATTCATGAGATCTTCACGTCCAGAAATTTCTCGAGCTGTTTTGCAGAGCAGAAGAACGGAGCTCTCAATTACTAACGAGTTCATAGAAACCTTAACAGAAGCATGAAAAAAATCATTTCAAGTAGCCAAACCTTAATTTCTCCAACTGAAACTCGGTACTTCTTCCCGACAGCCAAGTCTTCCGGATAACTGTCCGGGTGTTCCATGCAAATCTTGTGGTATCGTAAGAACAAGTTCACGAACAGGGGTAAAACAGAGCTGACAGTTTTGTCGAAAGAGAGGCAAACACTTGCGAGAATCTGGAACGAGTGTTATTTCTCCTTCTTCAGATGAACTAACCTCATGCACATCTTCCTCATTCATATGTTTCAAAATGAAATCCAGTAGTTCTTCAACTCTTTTCGGTTCGAACTCGAAACGTATAGAATCGGCTAAACTATTACATACAGCTTTTTTGACTTTCGGGAAAGAAGAGTAGTTGGCTAGTTCATCATAGCTGAAGGAGAGAGTTTCGTTTTCAGCCTTAATGATCTCAAATATTTGGATAAAAAAAAACATTAAAAACATCAGTGAGCAGGGAGAGGGCAGCAGATGCAGCTGTTCTGGTGGCAGAATGCTCAGATGCAAGTCCGTTCACTAAGAATTGAAGACATTTTCCTTCAGTATCCTGCTTTATAGCCATTCTCAATTGAGATATGATCTTAAAAACGAATGGTAATCCGTATGATACAGTCAACGCACCAGAGCTTCTATAGATGAATCCAATTTCTTCATCCGTTTATCAAGTGATAAATGATAAATGAAAAACTGTGATAATATCACAGGTGGAAGATGATTGATAGCCTTCGCGTTTGAGACAAGAAGATCCTACAAAAGCATGTCTCAGTGCAAAACACGGATATGCAGAACTCACTTGAATAGCTGACATTGCCTTAGTTGCTCCACTCATTTTTATCAAATTTGACAAAAGGTCTGGTTCTCTACATTCACATAGGGTAGCAGCGAGCTGACACTCGGTTGATATGACTTCTAGATCTTGAAGTATAGACTCAGGAGGACGACGTACAACATCTCTGAAAGATAAGAAAAAATGATAAAATCAGTGGATGACTTACTTAGCTGTAACCAACGAGCATTTATACAAAAGTAAACTCGTTTCTTCGTTTATCTCCTGTGCAGCACCACCCTGCTTTGCGTCTTCGAGTAATTTTTCTTGTGTCAATATAGTCTAGAAGCAGGAGTCAATTAACCATCTGAACGTGAAACTAACTTTTCTCTCTCGGACAGATATCTGATTCTCGGAATCCCTGACTTCTTCTCTCGTGAGTCCTTCGAAGGCTAGTGGGAAGTGGAAGTCCCTTTGAAAGATTGTAAAAATAAACTATAAGCATCTCTTACTTTGTTAGAATCATATGCACAAACATCCGGAAAATTGGGAACGTTTCATACACGGAAGAGAAAGCCTCGCCAACCTTTCCTACAAGTAAAATCTTTACGAAATCTTCCCCAATTTCGTCATACCAACACAAGTCCAAAGAATGAGAATGATCCACGATTTCCAATACAACTCGTTGAGATACATGGGTTTGTAATCCCTACAAGTAAGTTCAAGAAAGTGTCAAGAAACTGCAACTTACGCCACAGTTGCTCCGGGCAGATATAAGCACACGTCAAGAACTCTTTCCACAAGTTTCAAAGGACCAACGGACGATGCGAATAGAACAACAGCTTTTCGAGAATCTAAATACAACAAAACTGAAACTTCAAATGTACAAGTGGGTACCATGAGATGGTCGGAAAATCATGGCTCTTTTAGTCAGCTCATAGATGATATCAATGGCATCCTGCTGTTGTAGTAAAGCTGAGTCTTGACCGACAACCTGAATGATTTTCTGTAAACTTCAATAGGGGAAAACCATACCAGCCAAAGTACTTTGTCAGCCAAAGAGCACTCAGAAATAACTTTCATTCCCTGTGTAAACTCGAAATCGCTGGGCCCTTGATCCATCGTTGTGTAATACTCGACCTATCAGGGAATGTTTTGAACGTTCAAAAAAGGAAAACGCACCTTTTCCAAATAAAGGAACCTGAGTAAAGCGGAGTACATGTTCCGATAGCTACTGAACTTAGACTTGACTTTGTGCAAGAATCTGGAAACTGTTTTTTGAGCAATTCTCAAACTATACAAGAATACCGTAAGCATATCTCAAAGTATTCGAGTAGATCCTTTTCGTACTTCATGATGGTGTTAACCTGTTCAGGACTCAACGTAGACCCGTTTCTACAATGTTAGAGATGGATAGCAGCTTTTAAAAATAGGCAAACCTTCGTGCAGCAAAAACATCTTTTAAACATATGCTGATTAGAACGATAGGAGCCATCGTTAAAACTTCTGGAGCACTGATAACAGCACGTTCCTTGAAAGAAAATTAGAAAGCGTTCAGATGAAAACAACCTACCTGAAGTTCTCTGCTTTCTTCTGTGACATCTTCCAATATACTGTTCAAATAATTTTCAGTGAACAATGGGAAATTGAAATCCTGCAAAATAAAAAACTTTTAAAGCTACAGAAATATAGATACCAATCGTAGGAAAGCTCTCAAAATTTCTCTCGTGAAAAGACGAGCAGGTTTGGCTAACTCCTCCCGAGATCGCACAGAAGCTGATAACTCAATAGAAAACGCCTAAATTATAATTAAAAGATGTCAACTGCTTACAAAACTTACGATTGTTGTTTTTCGGTTGTCTAACGAGAATAGGTAACTCAAGATGCTCATGTTACAAGGCGCTCTACAACAGAAAACAACTTAGACATGTAGTTAATAACATTCAAACCGCAATTGTGATGGCCCAAACTCATTGGCGATGATTATTCGAATGATACCTCTGAGGTTTCTTTCGGATCTTGTAAGAACTTCCCGAATTGCTACTTGAAATACTGATTGAACCTATAAAGAAAGAATATGTGAATGTCAGATAATTCAACATACCTGCTTGCTTTTGAAACTCCTCATCTTTAGAAGGAAGGATAAGGTCTCGAAATCCATGGGACACTCCTCAACGTCGCCTATATTGCACCCCACAAAAAGCAATAGCTCAAGAGCATGTCTTTGTAACTAAAACTTTGAAATAGAAATAAGTAAGAATCATTGGAATACTTTTCCATTCAGAACCCAGTTATCTAAACGCTTAGCAGCAGCAAGTCGAACCTCAGAAATACCACTTAAGAGGGACATGGTTTTCAGCAAATTTCTTCCCGGAGATTCATTTCCTTTCTCCCACCTGATACTCACTGTGTACATTTAATTTTCATAAAACTAATTTCAAACCATTTTCTGAGAACTTCCAGCACAAACTCCTGGATTGTCTCTAAGTTAACTGTTTCAGTGAAAAACTTATTTTCAACAGACTAGAAAAAAAAATGAAACAGTTAAAATACAAGAGAACTTACGAGATCAGGAACGGAATCCGGAATGGCTAACTCAGCATTACAAGCAGTATACATGTCTTTGGTAGGAAAAACAGTGTCAAATGGTTTGATACACCAACATACTATTTTCGAGCAGAAACTCTGAGAAGCAAAAGTATTATATGACAGCATTTTAAACATCTTACTTTTTCAATCCAATTTCTATCGCCAAGTGAATCGTGTAAGAAAACGGTCAGAAGGTATGAGTCGAACACTGTCTGTTGCTCGAGAAGACAAACGAAAAGAGAGCTGATGATTTCTTGTCTTTCAATGCTGAATGGTTTCATTATACAGATTAGACATGAAAGACATTTCTGTAAATTTAGATTCTGAAAAAGACAGCGTTGAGTTGCGCATTGGAGGAAAGTTTGAAACCGTTAACCGTTTCCCATGCTCTTTAACAATCAAAGAAATTATTGTGACAAAATGATATTCCATTGAAAACTTTGAAGAATCTGCTTTCTTTTCCAAAAACAGGCGAAGAGCACTAGTTATTAGCCTGGCCGCCTGAATATCATACTTGTTGAGTATTGCTCAAGCCCCTTGTAGTAACCTTATTCACTTTGTCTTGTTGGAGAGACTGTGTTACAGCTTCGTTGAAAGTTGCTATGTCTACTGTGGTGTTTTGGCAAAAATCTTTCCATGTCCAATCAAGAGGAGGTTTTAATTGACCGACTGAAAGCTTGAGGATATAACATCAACGAGGAGACTGAGTTGCCTGTCAAAGTTGAAGAAGTGGAGGAAAGTCCAAGTTTCGAAGGTAGAGGAGTAGCAGAAAAGTCAAGTCTAGGCTTTTTAACTAAAGAGGAAGCTGAAGTCGAAGGATTCAAAGCCTGTAAAACTGTCAATGAGAAAAATAATAAAGCAGAATATTAACCAATGATCTTTTAGAAATCTTAGTGCCTGCTCTCGATTTGGCGACATCTTCAGGGCGGAGAATGCTACCTGTCGATATAGCTTTCGCCTTACCTTTCAGCTTAGAAGGTAAGCTGCTCATAAATTGTTACAATGTTACCAACTTATCTCAAATATTGAACGAGCTTCTTCTCAAAAGTAGAACATTTTTTTCGAATTTTTTGGCCGTGATGTACGCAAAATCCTGCCAAAATTGCGCGAAAAGAAGTTTGAATCCAGCTAAAGGGGGTCCTTGTATGTAAATTTAGTTGAACATCCCCAGACTTTTTCCTCATTTTTGCTGAACAAGTTGAGTATATTGTAGGTCTAACCATCAAAACTAATCTATAATGGAAGATAACAAGGATGAGAAGCGTTATCTCGCACAAATTGACGAAATATTGACCGATGGAAAAGTAATGTTTCAATATTCTTCTACAAAACAGACTAATTGAAGGTACGATCCGATAGAACTGGAGTGGGAACCATTTCCATTTTCGGTATGCAAAGCAGATATAGTTTGAGAAATGGAGTCATTCCTCTTCTTACCACCAAAAGAGTATTTTGGAAAGGTGTTCTAGAAGAGCTTCTCTGGTTCATAAAAGGTGAAACAGATGCCAAAACTCTCTCAAGCAAGGGAGTCAAAGTGAGTAACGCAGAAATGACATTTACTGATAATTCTTCATAGATTTGGGATGCTAACGGTTCTAAGGATTTTTTGAACAAGCTTGGCTTCGTAGATAGAGAAGAAGGAGATTTGGGACCTGTTTATGGTTTCCAGGTAAGCATTGGTTGCTTTTGTCCCAATCCACTTGTTTCTCCAGTGGAGACATTTTGGAGCTGAATATAGAGGCCCTCACGAGAATTATGAGAACCAAGGAGTTGACCAATTAAAAGATGTCATTGATCAGATCAAGAATAACCCAACTAGCAGAAGAATCATTCTTTCAGCATGGAATCCCGCTGGTTAGTTTTTTGTTTTTTAATTTTTTTTTGTCTAATGCTATCTTCATAATAATTTGAGATCTGGGAAAAATGGCTTTACCACCATGTCATACTCTATGTCAGTTCTACGTACACGATGGAGAACTTAGTTGTCAACTTTACCAGAGAAGTGGTGATATGGTGTGTGTCTAATCCATTCCAACGAACCTGAATGATTATAGGGTCTCGGTGTTCCTTTTAACCTAGCTAGCTATGGATTGTTAACACATATGATCGCTCATGTTTGTGGATTGAAGGTTAGTTTTATTTTTTTCGAATAATGATGAAAACTTTAACAGACTGGAGATTTCGTTCATACCTTGGGAGATGCTCATGTATACCAGAACCACGTTGAACCTCTCAGAGAACAGGTTAGAACGACTCTCCTTATTTCCAAAAATCTCATATCTTTTCAGTTGAAAAGAACTCCTACCGCTTTCCCCACAATTGAGTTCTCAGATGATGTGAAGAGTATAGATGATTTCACTGCTGACAAAATAATTTTGAAAAATTATAACCCCCAGGCAACAATAAAAATGGATATGGCTGTTTGAATTCCTATTTATAATTGTATTCTATTTGTAAATAAAAATTAGATGTCAACCAGGTTTTTTTTCATAATTGAGATAGTGGTTGTAAAACTCTGGTTAATGGTATTTAGAATGGTGTTGGAACAAGTTTGAATAAGGCAGTGTGCTCATCTCCTGTTTGAATCAGGTCAAAGCTCTATGCTTTTAAACGAACTTGAATGATTCTACTGCTTTTGTTCTCGCTTCATTTTGCTTTTGATTGTAGCAATAGGATTTTAACTTGCGATCGGATAAAGACTGCATAACATGTCGATGAACGGCCGATCTTGAAGAGAAATGGAATGCAACCGCTATGCGCGCCGACACGAAGAAGAATGACTCATTTTCATACGTTGACATGTAATTAGAATAATATGTGAGTGGAAGATTTATTACAAGATTTTTCCAACATATTAAATTGAATAATTTAAAACTTTCAAACAAGAAATGTAAGATTACGATCATGAGAATGATATCGGGAGTTAAGCATTTTTCGCACTGAAGACATGGAAGTAAGATGTGATTACAAAAGAGAATGTTCTTTGAACATAATTCACATATTTAAAATTGCACAAGCACATTAATTAATGTTGTTATGTTGTTTTGGATGATGATTCGAACTCGTGTTAATGATGGAAGTCTGATGCTAATAATGGGGAAATTCTTTTTTCAGGTCCAGCGAAGCAAAGGTCTTGACAGTTTTGCTCAAACTCTATTGGTCGTTCTTCCATTTCTTCAGTTTGAGAGCATTTAGGATAATGATATGGAACACAGATAGATGCTCCAGGCTGAAATTGACCGATCTTGTATTTATTATAAACGAATAACTTACAGGTCTGTAGAATCTTCGAACCATAGTGGGTCGAGTACCATCTGGGCATTCTGTTCGCTCTACACGACAGCACCTTGAGTTTTCTAAGCCTGAATAATAAACTTCAGGTATCTTCAGTAATACAAATTAATACATTCAATTCTTAGAACAGGAACTCGTCTGATAACATCGTCTGATAGAGCTTGAACAATTTCTTTGGTCATGTACAGCTTGTTGGTTATATCAGAGGCATGTTTTCTAGTGTTTGGAACATATCCTTTCTGATGCTTCCAGTATTGGACGGAAGTTGATTCAGTTGGAGAAGATGTGGATTCTGATTGATTCTCGTGGAATGAAGTTGTTTCAGAAGTTGGAGAAGCAACAGGTAGAGAATTTTCAACACCGTTTGGAGCTTGGGTATCAGATTCCTTCTGAAAAATTTAAGTTTGATGTATTATTCTGAGAGATAACGAACTTTTAAGTTTTTCTTGAACTTGTAAGCATCCATAAGGGCTTTCATAAGTTTCTTATTCTTTCTTATAGCCTAAGTTAATTGTTTAGCTAAGATGATTCCTGTAGAACAAACCTTTCTGAGATGTTTGTCATCCCATGGAATGTTCATATCGCCGGCTGCTTCCAACTCAGCTAGAACTTGCTCAACTGATGGCTCTCCGACTTCAGGTACAACAGTTGTAGTTGGGCTATTTCCAAGATCACGGAAATGAATTCTGGAGATGTTGAGTCTTCGTTGTAGTCGCTTCTCTATATCGGGAGAGAGCATTTTTCTGAGAGGCATATCGAATGTCAGTCGACTGATGTAAGGATTAGTCTAAAGAAGAAATCATTCATGCTGTAAAGGAGAACATTTGTACATGAGGTGGTGAAGTAACTTCGATTCTTCGGAGAGTTGGAGAGTTTGGAAGAGGCTGTTGAATATGAGACTTTTCTGATCTTTTTTTGGAAAACCCTTCAACTGCTTCGTCAACAAAAGATTCAACTGGTGATTTCATAGGTGTTAAAGAGTCTCCAGCTGTAGAAAATGAGTTGGCGTTTCTCACAGTATCATCAGTCGAACGAACAAAGTTCTCTTCGTTATTTTCAAGATCATCTGAAACATTGAAGGTTGAAGAATATGTAAATCGCTCTGAATTGTGTTTACTCTGTAATGGGATGTGATTGGCGTTGGATTCATTGATGTTCAACTGAAAAGGAGATAAAATACCAATATTTCCTAATTTAAGATGTATTACCGCAGAAGAATGTTCTTCGATGATTAATGGATTAGGTCGAGGCATATCGTTCTCAATCTGAAAAAAAATGTTCCGCGTGTTAAGAGAAAAACATCTGCTGCGATCTGTGACATCTAAGCCAATTCCTTTGATATGAAGGTGTTCTCCTTTCTATCATTTTTTTCTTTCTGTCTCTATCTTTCTCTGTCCCATTCCCTCCTCTCTCTCCTTACAGGGACAGATCTAGATTGTCCTTTTCTTTAGTTAAGGGCATCGGACACAATAGCGATGAACTATGAAAAGCGAAATCAAATTTGTCGCAGAATGGTCGAGACAGATTGGCGCCCTAGGCTTCTTTCGTGATGGATTATTCTTTCGGAACCTGTGAGTTGTATCTCTCCAATTAAGGTATCTTATGAAAGATTGAAACAAAGAAAGTACATGAGGAAATACTAAACGAAGAGAAAAACTGCGAAAGATCAGAAGGGCAGGCGTTAAGATCTCCTTGTTTAGTTGAGTTTTATGTACAGGAGGCGTCAGAAGACATTAAATTCTTTTGTTTTCAAAGTGCTTCAGCTCAATGTGCCTTTCGCTTTCGCTTCCGAAAGCATTATTTTGACAAGATTTAATGGGATTTTTATAAAGGGAAGTACTGTAGGTCTTAGATAGAACAACCTCATTCGAGAAAAAAACTTCGAAGTCAATTTCTTATCGAACTAGTTCGATTCAAAGAATTTATATCATACAAAAAATCATGCTTTCTCATCAAACTCATTCTCGTTCGTTGCATATGCAGGCTGAGGCTTTACAACAAGCTACTATTAACTGTATACCTTTTTGCATCGAGCAGGCATGCATGGTTTTGTCTCATAGAGAATGGGACAAACTTTACGGTACATGCCTCCTCCTGCCATTGTTTCTGGCAAAGGTGGCTCAACTACATCTCTAAAATTATTTATTTGTTTGATATCTCGTGTGTTTTCACCTATTGCGAACAACTTCAGCGTACTGACATGTTCCGACACAATCACCCCAACTGGACCATTGGGACACGAGACATTCTGGAAATGAAAAATCTGTTGTATTCAATAGAACATCAATCTTTTGTCTCATGCTAATCGTTCTTTCAATTCAAGTAGGATTTCATAATTCAAGCTGTAATTTTTTAGACATGCAAAGGTGAGATAAAGATCAGCGGGCTAGACAGTCTGTCTCCAGTCCGCATTCCGCTGATCGAAGATCGACTTTGATCCTTTCAACTCCGGAAAGCATGTTCCGAATTTGTATTTTTTGTCATTCATCATCTTGGGTATCTTCTACATAATCAGAAAAAAATTCGTTACATTCTTGACAAAAAACAGAAGATTGAAACAATATTGTTCTATGTGGTGCGAGAAGCTACTTCCCGAGATATCTATCTACCTCTCACCCCAATTCCTCAGAATCAGCATGAGCTGTCCAAATTTAGAAAAAACAGTTTGAAAAACGAGGAAGTTGAAAGGATATCGGTAAGTTCAAATGTATAGGATGCGGAACAAAGAATGATTGAACTGTGTAAGAGCTCAAACCCGGAACGATACACTTCACCGGTTCGCCGGATGTTTCCAACTACGGAAACCGATGTTTTCGAGATTCGGAAAAATAAGATTACTAAGGCATTTAATAAAAATGAAAGGAAAATAGATGTTTTGTGAACATTTCATTTTATCTATGTAAGCCATCAGATTTGGAGAGTTGTTGAATTGTAATTATCTCTTTGAGAATGGGAGTGTAAAACAATGGAACAATACACTTCTACAGAACACCAAACTCGATAGCAAACAGTAAAATTTTCAAAATTTCATGGTACAAAACAAACTTCATTCATTTCAATGATTGTACTGTAGAAATATGGAAGAGAAGAGAAGTTTATAGTTTACGTGTTGAGAGAGAGCATTAGATAGGGGAAAAGAGGTGCGAAGACGATAAATTAAAAAGTTTTGACGAAACATGAAATTCAATTTTCAAAGTCGACTCACCTGTAGCGTAAGCTTGGTTTATTAATACGCTTATAGTCAGAACTCGTATTATATAGCTTAACACCATTTTATTGATAACTGAAATGAAAATGAAATGTAAATGCACAATATGCAATGCTAATAAAACATCCATTAAAGGCTTAGACCTTACATGGAATAACCATGGATGGGGGTCAAAAATCTGAAGGAATTTTGTGTGTAGAAAAGACACGCCTCTATAGACTTCCCGCTTTCTCATACTCCCTTATTTCCATTTTTATCTCCGTCTTTCCGATCCGCCCAATATGTAGCCAAGCAAAAGAGGGAGAAATCTTCTTATAACCGACACAACCAATAAATCTGAGCGATGTTCAGAGAAAAATGAGATAAACTTGAGAAACGATGATTGCGACATGTGAACCCTAGCGAAAGACTTGTCGGAATCGAAAAAAATGGCTATTGCGGCTTATTTTCATACAAAAGGTGTTCATGTGTAATAACTGTTTCGTTGCTGTGTACTTAGAATCAACATATTGTCAATCCAACGTCACGTCATCTGTCGGACCACGTATCGCTCATCTACATGACAGTTTTGTAATTTTTTCTTCAAGTTTTCGTGTCAATTGCCCTGAGGTCGTTCAGCTGGTTACCGACATTCGAGTTAAACGGTGAAAAAAAATTGTTTCAAAGAATGAAAAAGGTGAATTAAGAAGTTAAATCTTTGATCAAATAAGCCTCTGGACTTGTCACGTATAATGATGTGAATCCGATTTCAATTTGCCAAAAAGATGATGAGAGTCAATAGGGCGCTGTTGCCGTCAACATCATTCGTGTACACGAACTCGATGTGCATCTATTAGATTTCACAATAAAATCATTTTTGCACTCGAAATATCTTATCATATGAATCACTTAATGGCTGTCGGGTACATTCCAGCTATTAATCACTTCTGTTTGTTCGGATCATGTTGAATATGAGTCGTTCAATGAGCTCTAGCAAAGAAATCAAATGATCAAAATGAAACGATTGCTTCTGTTTGTGTTTGAATTTTTGAACTCTCTATGCCAACAAGGCTTGTTTATCAACCACAAATCATCGTTGACATATAAAAGCCGCGGGAATGATGAATAGTCTTCAGTTACAGTCTGTTGACATGCCCCTGATTATAAAATGCACTTTATCCGCTTTCAAACTTCTGATAAAATATGAATAGAAATGAAGTTTCGAAAGCTTGATCCGTTGCGAGAATAATGCATGCACAAGCTATCTCGTTTAACACTTTCATTTTCGTTTTGCATGCAGTGAGAGAGCGGTTGTTCAAACTTGTACCGTTGTTGTACCGAAATGTTCACAGAGAATATACTATATAATTCAACAATTGAAGAGGGATAGTTCAGAGAGTAAACTAGTTCTACATAGGATTACTCATCTCTAATTTTCCATCTGGCTTTCATGAACTCAATGATCTGATTTTCTATTTGTCTCATTTACAGATATGTGTCTGATCGGATGCAGCTTCCTTCTGCTATGCTGTAGTTACGTAATTTGTGGTAAGAGCTCTGAAAGAACCACAGGATAGTCAACTGTATCATTCAGGTAATGATTGGAGTTACAATGATAAAACCCAATGGACTGGGCTATGTGCGACAGGAAAACAACAATCTCCTATCGACGTTTCATTCTGTAAGCTTTTAGTTCCGATTAGAAAAGCACATATAGAGTAATTCTCAGATGATCTAGAAAGAAAAAATATTGAACCATTAGAGTTTCATGATTACAACATCACTGGAGAAATCACCGGACTGAACAATGGCCATACAGGTATTTTCCAGAATAGAATGTTCTCTGATCTAGTATCTTCAGAGTTGGTCCAGGGTTTTGAATCTTGGTCCACACAACCTTACATCACAGGTTAGTACAAAAATGAACATTCTATGAACAGACTAGATATATTCAGGTGGTGGATTACAGGGTAAGTACTATCTGGCTCAATTTCATTTTCATTGGGATGGTCGAGACAATCTAGGAAGTGAGCATACTCTGAATCACCTTCATTACCCATTAGAGGTGATCATCCCCTGTTGTTTGTAATACAAATTGATATTTATAGATTCATCTTTTACATGTACAACAAGGAGTTCATCCATCGAATGCAGATATTTATCCGAATTCCATTGCAGTTGTGAGTTGCAAACAAAAAAGGAATGTTATCACAAAAAAAGTACTTTAAAGGTGGCAGTTTTCTTTGAAATGTCTGATGATGGAACTCCACTTGAACCATTAACCAATATTCTGCGAAGGACTATTCAAACATGTTCGTTTTCCTTGTTCATTTCTTTTACAAAGGAATTTGCAAAAAAAAGTTCAACATGTAATTTGCAGCTAAGGAATCTGTGAATGAGGGTTATAATCCAAGTGATCTTTTACCATCGGATACATCTTCCTTTTTGTATTATAATGGATCTCTGACAACTCCTCCATGTTCAGAAACTGTGCGATGGTTTCTTATGACACAACCCAGCAGAGTTACTGAGCTACAGGTAATCGTCACTTCAATACTCTCGAACACAACAGTTCTGTTTAAAGCTGAAACGATTCCGTGTTCGTCGTGGGGAACAAAGCTTATTCTTGATTGACAACTGGAGACCAACGCAACCAATGAATGGTCGTAAGGTCTACTTATCTCAAACGAATTCTATACAGCCATAGTTTGTTTGAAAAGCGAAGAAACATTCAAATGATCTCATAGTATTCTTTATTTTTTTCTATAGCTTCTAAACAAAATAGGTTAATAGTACATACACGTAATGTCGGATCATAGTTTAGGTCAGCTTTAATGCCATTCATAACATTAAACTTAAAATAAACTTAATTAAATATAATTCCTATGAAACAGAAGGATTTGAGAAAGAATCAATGAGAGACGAGGTATGTGTTCAATGATGATTGAATGTCCATATAACATTGGTTTGGTTGGTTCTTTAACTCTGAGAATGATATGATGGTTAATGAGAGAACATAGATTCAGTTGCTTGTTTCTTCGTCCTTTCTTATTATAAATACTCGTGGATAGACTGAAAGTTGTTGGCAAGACATGTACCATCAGCTTTTCAATGGCACTAAGAATGAAATCTGTCTATAAATGTATAGATTTGCCCAAATGTTGGACGACCAGGAGGATGAGCATCGAAGCAGCGACTAATTATTTCTCGGATACCTCGAGGAACAGCTTCTGGTATTCGAAGAATTACCTGCAAACAGATTGTTACTAATTAATAAGACGTTGAGAAACATACTGTTTCATTCTCATTTCCTTCCAACACACGTTCAGCATTTTCCACAAGCTCAGCGTTAGTTAAGTTTTCGTAAGGAACCTTCTGACACTGATAGAGAATTTCATAGCAGCACACTGCATAAGCCCAACTGTCGGATTTTGAAGAGAACTTGTTCTGCAATGTATGTCTGTGTGAGCAATCAGAAAATTTGAAAATCTTACATTGATAATGCTCTCTGGAGCACTGTATCTCAGTTGAGCCGGATGTGAAGGACCTCGAGGTGAAGATATCTGAACATTTGAATGTCAATTCATTATTTGAACTCTTTTATCATTACCTTAGCTCTCAATGTATCCGAAAGTAGAATATGGCTCGGAGTTAAATGTCCATGAACTAAAGCTTTTGACTCTAAATAAGCCATTCCTGAGCAAACATCTGCACATATAGACAGAATCGAGGATAATGGAAGAGGTTGAGCTAGGTTTTTGAGATATTGTTTCACATCTCCAAGAGGCATGAGCTCGAGAAGGAGAGAAGCGTTCTCATCCGTTCCGAGTAATCGAACTATGTGAGGATGAGCAGTAATAGATAATGTTTTCAATTCATCCAAAATTGCTTTTCTAAATTCGAATTGTTATTCTGGCTAGCGTTACTAATGACCAAACCTCGCATGCAGATTGTTCTTATCTTTCGCACACTTGTACACAGCTGGCTGCTTGTTTACGGGTAAGAAACATTCTTTAATCCTTGTCAACTTTCCTTCACCCAAGTCTGCTCCGAATTTGAGAGAATTGAAGTGATAACGTTCAATTTTGTCAAAACTGCATGATACATTTGATTAATACAATATTAAAGAAGTAACCCTTACCCGTACATGTCCGAGAACAGATTTCCAGTTGCATAATGCTGAACTTCATCCGAATAGCTGAAACAACGAATTTCAGAATCATAAAGAAAACTAGAAACTACTCTATATGCTTTGGCCTTCTTGTAGTCATCGATGATCTCAAATCCGTTTGAGGTCTTCTCTTGGAAGGTAGAAGGGGCAATGTCATGCAGGGTTCCGCATATATTCGCTCTTCTTAAATATCAAATTTGTAAAACTAGATGTAAGATTTTAAAACAGAACAACCGCTCTTCACATGTGATTTCAAAAATGATTTCCACGTTGAATTGGAGTGAAATACAGAAGAAAACAAACCTGGTGGTGGAGGGAAGTGGAAGTCGTTCCAAGTTGGAGGAGTGGTTTTACCAATTGAGGATGTGCTCTTAGTTGAAACACTAAATAACAGAATAACATAAAATTCAAAAAAACATGATCAATACCTTGTGCTCGTTGTCTTATCTGTTGCATAGAGGTTCGTGTTGTATTGAGAAGAGAATGCACTCGGAAAGATGTGAGTAGTTTGCTTCCCTCCCATATGAGTTATAATCAAATCTCTTCAAAGAAAGGAATGTATTTCTGGTAGTTCGAATGATAGCAATACCTTTTCACATCTTGTTGGAACATATCTTCTTTCTCTGGATTTTTTCGTTTGCGAACACAGAGAATTCCAAAGATGACAAGGATGAAGATCACAAAGAGTACGCAGAGTCCTGTTAATATAAGCACTGATCAGGAGGACAATCTTGTTAAGCTTTACCTATGATGCTCATCAGGTTTCTGTCCACTTTGATGAAGCCTTCTATGGGGTTATCAAACGAGGCATTGGTTTCATTTGAGAGAACTGGAAAGAAATAAACGTCAAAACAGAAACAGAAGGTGAAGGTAAGATTGTTTGTTTGTCTAGTAGTTCTAACTAATGGAGAAATAATTAGTTGCTGAACAACAGTCTATATGAAGTAAACTATTGGAATAGTAAAGCACAAAGGTAACACGGAGGTTATGGATAGTCAAACTCAGGCTTTTCAGAAAACTCACGCTCGTAGTCCTCAGGTATATGAGACATTGGCCCTGAGTTGATTAAATAATTATTTATAATTACTTATTCATATAGTTAATGATATTTTATAATTAACTTGAGTATATATTGATTTCAGTCATAGCTTAACACTCACCAGATGCAAAATGAATTTCGGTAAGGAATAACCAATCGCCAGGGAATTTGATTGTTACACGAACTTTCCTTGCCATTCGACGGTGCAAAGGAATTCTCAAGTCGTATCTATAAGGTTTTTTGTTCCTTTTTTTTTCATTTGCTTCAAGTAAAAACCGTTTTGCAGTAGAATTGGCGGCTAATCTATCAAGGGAAGATATCTGAGATGATAAAGGGAAGTTAGTTCCGTCTTGGCTGAAAAGAAAAGACATCTACAACTCTCAAACTTTCAATCAAAAACCTAAAAATGACATCAATGCTGTCTAAACGATGTCCATGAAGTGCCAACAGAATTTCCGAAAAGTTTCGAATTTGATCAAACTCAAACAAAAGTGTTATTGTTCCACCTAAATCAGATGAAAATAAAAGTTGAAATTAAGAGATGTTCTAAACCAGTCTGATGCTTGTTCCAGCCTATCCATGAAGCGTTATGATTTGAAGGCGTGAATGGAGACGAATCAGCCACATATCCATCACTCAACAAACCCAGGCCCCTAAAGTTAAGATCAGTTTATATATTATCATGTTTCATACCGCTTAATGCCCGTTTCTGTGAAGAGCTGATTATCTTCAAAAATGGGATCCCTAAAATCATAATCTCCCATGCGTGAGCCCTCAGGCACAGTTGAATAGTAAAGAAGCCCATCTATAACAAGCTTCGTTATAACGGGATAACTGATTTGGCAAAAACCTCGATGAAGGCATCCATGAAGCTCAGCTCTCATACATATGGTTCGTTTTGTTTTGGAATGAGGAACAATGCGTATACGAGAAGCTATGATTGGTGGGTCCAACTGTCTCATAACGGCTGTCACAGTATCAAAGTTACCAGTCATGAGCTATAAGAACACACTTGATATAATATACTGAGATGATATCTACTAACCACATGCCCTGTTCGATTAGTATATCGTATCCATTTACTTCCTGGCCTCAGATAGTCAATCATGTACTCTTTAGTAAATTCTCGACCAGTTCCATTTCCGAATCTACCTTGTGTTTGAATGGCTGAGACTATATGTGTTCGATCGAGATTGATCTAAAACAAACTTCTTGTGAAATAAATTCTTGTTTTTTCCTTTCATTCTCTTGATGTGTGACCTTTTACTCATCTTTATTCAAATAATTCAATTAATATTGAACAAGTTGATACACTATAACATCCATTTATGGTTAGCATAGTTACAGAGTAACTACTTATACAAATAGTCTCCCCCTCTTTCTCTCTTTATCCAAATATATGTTTGTACAAGTTGTATTCAAGTTTTCTTAAGATAAATACACTTTCCACTTCCTGAACACCTCTTATCTTCCTTCTCTGTTCCTCGTCCACTTCCTCTCATATCACGTTCCTTCATACTCTCTTCTTCAATCGTTCTCTCTCTTCCTTAGCTCACTGAACTATCAAGACTAACCTGTAAGAACTCATATGAATTACTATCAATTTGCGGCTTTGGACACCATGCCCCAGAATCCATTTCATGTCGTAATCTGTAAAGAAAAAATTTTTTTGTTGGCATTCATCTTCTCTTTCATTCTGTTTCATCATTTTAAATATGCACTGATGTCCATTAATGGAATTTTACATCATTGACTTCAAAACAGAAACAAATCCTTCTTTTCAACTTTACTACACCCGTTCTGTATATGTTTATGAAGGAAAAGCTGAATAGAAGGAACGCTGTTGTTCTCAGGAACTTCAGAACAATCAATCTTTTCAATCGTCCATAATTACCTTTAACGACTTAAAGCTCAGTTCAAAGCAAAAATAGCAGAAGAGAGAAGTAAAAACAAAAGACCACTGAATATCTTGTCATTTTTCCGCAAAAATAATTATTTTTTATGCAAAATTTCCATCTGACGTACTTTGCGTGAAAGCCGCCCCACGTAATGAACTCATTTCTGCTTCTTCTGTCTTGTAACTTCCCCCTTCTCTTCATCTTGTCTTTATTTCATACGATTGACAGGACGAGATACGGTGGACTGCTGCAGAAACAGGAGAGAAAAAAGAAATTTAAAGAACATTTGTTGGACGAATCTCTAAAGACCACCTCGAAGCTTTTTCTTCAAAGCATCTTTTACAACATATGTCCATCATTATTAATATTTGAACACAAGACTAACAGCTTTGTGTTAAACTATCCTAACCTCGCATTCTGTGGTCCAACTGATTGTCGATCAAAGCTTGTACTGGCTGTTATTTGCATATTGGTAATCTCCCCAGATTCCATACCTAACGGTAAGGCCTGACATTCTCCTGCAACACATGAATGAATAAATTAATTTGATTTTTCAAAGTAAACTGATGGGTGGGGGATGAGAGATGTATCTATAGAAGAAGGATATGAGATGAAACAATAGAATTCAACTTCAAACAAGGAAATTTGTATGGTTGAAGAACGTTCATTCATAGTTGGAAAGCAGAAAAAAACATTTTTTTCAGCAGCCATTCATCACACCTTTTCAAACAATTCCCTCTTCTTCTGTTTTGTTTTCTTTTTATTAATAATGATGACATTTGTGTGCGAAGACGGTCAACCTCAAAGAACTTTGCCTGACATTTGTTCTTCTGATGCAATTGTCCCAATAGCTTGTCAACAACTACCACACTCACACGGGCAGAAGAAAAAATAACAAAAACTTTGACACCTTTTGTTTAAAATTCACAGATTTTTATTATTTTCAACCGCTCACTTGCGTCATTATACACTCAAAATGACATTGAGAGTAAGCTTGTACAGCTGCTCACGAACATCAAACATGTACACACGTGTATGCATTCATATGCTAGCACGTGTAAATTAGCATAAACATTTGAAAAATTCATTCCTATTTTCATGTCCATCAATCTTTTTTATTCAAATTTTTCAGAGTGAGAAAACTAATATGAGTCTGCCGAAATCATTTTAAGTGACAACAAAAGAAGAAGAAGAAACATCTGAATGATGCTTAGCATTTTCCCTTGAGACCTCAATGTTTCGGACCTATTTATATTCTTTCTCATCTAAACTATTCAAAAATATTGAGAATTCAAGAAGAGACAGAGAGACACATATTCAGAGAGCACAACCAATCCCCCTCTCACATCTACCCTTCTCTCCCTCGCATCCAAAAAAGGAAGAAGAAGACCAAGAAGTATAAGGAAAAGAAGAAGGAGAAGAAAAACGCAGAAATCTCTTCAGAAGATAAAAGTCTTTATTATAGTTTATGAAAGTCCCTCTTTCTCTTTTCTTTTCTTTCCAAACTTCTGCTTCTCATTACTTTACGTCCACGAGCATTTCTTATGCTGGTGGCAGTAGAGATGAATGAACCATCTTGGGCCTTCTGGTACTAACAAGGTCATTGACTTTTTTTTTCAAAAAAGACCACCACAATATGATGACTGACTAGTTATTATTATAGATAATAATATATTTAAATGTTTTTTTTTCAACATTACATAAAGATTTCAAGTCTTCGCTTGATCTCGTTCTCTGGTTTCTTGCATGGGTAATGCTGAAACATGAATTCCTCTTAATTCCGCTTTGTTTAGCTCATAAACACATTTTTTGTCATTGACCGGCCTTGATTAAAGGGCTCTGGAGTAAGTGATGAGGTAGATGTGGAAACACCTGTTGTGTTACCAGACGGCTTTTTTTCAACTTGAAATACACAAAGCAATGCGTTGTTGTTTAAAAACATGAATTTCTGGGTCATGGGCTGGATGAGTAGAAGAACGTGGGGAGTACAGGGAGACAGACGGAAAGGAGGGAAATGAATGAGAGAATAATTTTTGGGAATGAAACTGAAAGATAACAGTGAATGATGTGAAATACAAGGGAAAACAGGAAGAGAACCGAGATAGAGAGAGAGAGTGAGAAGAGAGCTGAAAGAGAAAAAAATGGGAATGGAGTGCAGATGCTGTTTGAAGCTGTCTCACAACTTTTTTTGTTCCAAATGAAAAATGAACAGATGTAAATCTCTTTCAATGTGATTCTCCTAAAATAATCTGTTATGGAATGCACAAAAGTAGAAATTGAGCGATTGAGCGAGAGAGGGAGAGAGAGAGAGAGAGAGAGATGGCGAGAGACGAATAAAGAGGAAGAGAAAGATGAATGGCAGGAGACAAAGGCGAAACAGTAATACAGGACGTGAGAAGAAGAGAGAGAGAGAGAGAAAAAAAGAAAAGCTTCTTCCAGTTTTTTTAATGAAGTGAAAGATTAAATGGTTGGAATTGGCTTCATTTGTTTTTGCCCTCAAAAAACATCAAAAAAACACATTCGGCTCTCCACTTTATGAGTACTTTGCCTTAACAGAAGTCCTTCTGTTTTCGGCATTCCTTTGTAACTCAAGAGCCGAGAATGGCTGTTACTTAGAGGTGAAGTAAGAGAACTTTCTTCACATTAATCCTCCCAAACCCTCTCACCCTGTCTCTTGTCTTCCTATAACCCCCTTATCGTCTATCTGTTCATCTGACTGAACAAATATTGTTTGCGATTGTTCATTAAAATATTTCAGAATATTATGATTGATCATTTAAACAGCTGATCAGATTTGCAATTAGAAAAAAAAATCTTTTTTTCCGCTTCAAAATGGAATAATCCATCTGATAAGAAGAGATAGAGAGATGAAGGGAGGCACTAGTGTGTGAGCAGCAAGGGGTGGGGAAGAGATGATGTTGAAGAGACCTTCGTTTCGTTTCTCTCCAAAATCTCAATACAAACAGTTGGTTAATATCAAATGAGAATAACAATTAAATATTTCTTTGCACTGAACTGAAATTATTTGAAAACCCCAATGCGGACCACATGTAAACGTATGGCCAAAGCTTTCTCAATCTCTGCCGGCTAATTTACAATGTGTGGAATAGGAAATGAGCAGCAGAGCCAAGAGCGCGTTAGGACGGCACAAGAGATGAAAAGAAGATCAAAACGCGCGAAAACACAGACAGAGAGAAAGAGAGAGATAGAGAGAATACAGAAGAAATAAAGAGAAAGGAATGAACAGGAATATCTTTTCCCCTCTTCTCTCATTCCTAAGAAATCTTTATTTGGAAATTAGAAAGGTCAGTTACTCTCATCATCTTTCATTCGCACATTTCTCTTTCAATCTCATTTTCTTACAGAAAATCTATTTGAGAGAGATAGAGAGAAAGAGAATTAGACATAAAGCATAACAACAACAAAACAAAGTAATTTCCATAAATGATGATGACATCACATAACAATCCCTTTTATAGCCTATATGTGACCATCTTTAACTGCTCTTCCTCTCTCTTAATCATCTATTCTCCTTAATATTTATAATTACTTAATAAAGCTTAACATGGATACATATATGAATTCATAGTCCTCTAATTAGCTCAGCAAACATATTCATGGAAAAACTGTCAAAGTCAGAACTGCCGTCGTTGTAAGCACTAGCTATCCTACAACCCCCATCCTCAGTCACTATCTGGAACTCTCTTCTCCCCGCCATCTACTCCATTCCTCCTCAACCCCAATTTATGAATTAATATATAAATAAATATTCTTACAGTGTGACATATTTCTATTAATGTCTCTCAAATTTCCATATATGGAAACTTCATTTTCAGATTTCGCTTCCAAAAAATGAAATTTGAAAAACAAAGCTGCGTTCGAACAGTTTGAACATAGAAAGAGAAAAAAGATTTTTTTCCAATGAAACAGAAGAACGGACAGAAAGCTTTAATGCTAATGGCTCTCTAATAAGGCAAATGACAAGATATGCTAAAGAGGGGGTAGAGGGGTACAGCTTAAGAACACATCTAAATATGAACAAACTATTCATTAAGCTTTAAGCTTTTTGTTTTTCAACATCAATGGTCGGTCACAATATGCTAATTCCACCGCCTGTTCCATGACTTGTTGTTTGTGTGCATCCCTTCAAGGGTTTTTATCTCTCTTAACTGTACATATTCTTTCTGTATGTCTCTCTATCTATCTCTCTTCATCTCTTCTTCTATCTAATGAGAAGAACATGTTGAAAACAAGTCATTTACAGTTGTTTAACATCGAATTGATTGATTGGAAGGTGGAGTGTCAAATGGAATTCCTTTTACAAGAAAGCATCACCATCAGCATATGCTAATATCGGCAATGTATTAAGATATTTGAGAGTCTCTAAAGATAAAAATCTGTTTTTCTTGAGAAAATCAAGATAAAGTCTGTGAAAGGCCACCTCCAGTGCTCATGATTAAACAGACCAACAAATCAAAAAGTACTCTTGAGTTATTTGAGCTTCTAAGCATTCTTTTTCTCTCTCTCTTATACACTTACACTCTTAGCTCTTTACTCTTCTCTCTCCCCGCCATCTATTCACGTCTCTCTCTCTCTCTTCCTCTCTCTCTGTCTCTCCCTCTCTCTCTCTCTCACCTCTTTCATAGAAAAATCAGCGAAAAATCAATAATTTATATGAAATAAATATATAAAAATATACTCCTTTCACTATACGACGTTCATAACATCCGTTCTTAAATGAATTTGAACATTCAGATTCAGAAAGAGGAAATCTGGCATCAGATGACAGACAATGTCATCTTCAATTTTAATAATTTTTCATGAAATTTCAATGAAGATATAAGAAGGAAAAGGAGAAGAAGGAAAAGATGATGATGATGTAGACGAAGACGATGAAGAAGGAATGAAAAGAGTGATTTGAGAAGGATAAATCCATCTATGGTATGTATTAGGTCTTTCTGCTGCCACACACACACACACATGTACATACCATTCAACAGATTATTCGTGTATTTATGAATAAACTTTAAAATATTTGAAAGTAAATCGGATATTCAGACAATTATGTGCATATAGTTACATATAGTAGATGTTTATAAATTATAAAATATTCAATTTTTTCAAAATGAAAATGTGTTTTTGAAACTCACCTAATCGGAGTGCAAAGGTATTCAAAGGTTGCAGAAGAAATATGTAAAAGATCAGAAACATCTCATGTCATTAACTATAAAAAGGCATAATAAAAGCATATACTAACTAAACGATGTTATAGTAGAACGAAGACAAACAAGTAAACATCAACGAATGATTAAAGCAAAGACGACGAAAAAAAACTGACGAAAATCTATGAAAATGACGAGCAACACACAAAAAATGGAGATAAGAAGGAAGGCTGTCGTGATGGGCAAAAGAGCAAATGAGAATAAAGTAAAAGAGAACAGACTGGAATATCTTCATGTATATACGAAAAGCCACAGATTACGAGGGTTTTTTATTCAAACATCTCTCTCTCTCTCTATTTGAAATGAAGCCAATTTGAAAAGAGTGAAGAAAGCCATACTACTAATAAGGAAATACCATGGTTACTATATAGAAGTTTCATTTCGGAGAGAAGGATGAGAGAGAGAGAGTGAGAGAGATAAAGATTCTCTCTTAGACAAAAAATGGCAATTATAATAAATAAACGGAACCGAAAGATAAGATTGGCTTGACAATTCCTCTTGGTCATCATTGCCTCACTGACTATTGAGAAAGATCTGCAAGAGGGAAGGAGGGAGGAAAGAAGAGTGGGAGGAGCCTGGAAGAAAGGGGACACAAAGAGAGAAGAGAATCAAATGGTCCATCCCTATGGCCAACCACAGATGAACAACATGAACGGATAGATGATTGTTCATATAAAAAAAAGATTATGATAATAAACTAAAAAACAATAAACTAAACTGTGAAAGATGCAAGATGGGGATGAAGAAGATGAAGAAGATGTGAAAAAAAGATTTTCTTGAATATCAAGCATTCGTTTTAGCTCTCTCACTCTTTCATACTGCCTTTATAATTCGCTCAGCTGCTTATATTACCCACAAAAATCCAAGACATACATATAAGGAATGTTGGTGTGTGTGTGGCTGAGAAAGTTTCAGTTCAATAAGCACCTGACCGCTCCAATCGGTTGCCACGCTATGTCCAACGGAAATATAATATGCTAATTGGCCTGGCACCTTGAACCTCAAGAAAGGTTTGATCGATGAGGAACAAAGCTTTTCTCAAACTTTCATTTAGCTGTCGGATATTTCAAATATGAAACTATTTCCTTTTATGTCTAAAGAAAACGTTTCTGTACGTCAGTACTCATGTAACTTCATACTATGAATGACTAAAAGTTTGAAGCTTAACTCAGCATCAGCAGGGAAAAGCTTTTGTGAGGGTGAAAAAAATTTTTTTTCAACGAAATAAAGAGAAGGAAATTAGAAGTTCGTCAGAATATCTTAAGGAAATAAGAAGGAAATGAGACAATTGATGAATGAAAAGAATAAAAATTGTTTCATTCAAAAATGCCATCTAGAGCTTTCTCTTCAACTCCCTTCTTCTAACCATCTCTCTCTCATACACTCTGCTCGCCTTGAGCTTTCTGAAATCGCACGATGCTCTTCATCAAATATTTTAATGTAATCGTCAGAATTGCCGTATGAATTGTTAGTGAAAGCGTGAAAAGGAGAGTTACATTCTGTAAGCTTCAAAATTAAAAGTTCAACCATATGGATGAGTAGAAGTATAGGACACAGAAGCATATAGCCTCTAAAACTCGCTAACATACTGACAGCTACTCTAATTCACAGCTCAACCTGAACTCGAAGAGCAAAAACGTTTCGAGAGAGAAAGAGTCGGAAGGGTGAACTAGGAGAGAGGACGGCATAGAACGAATAGAACTTTGGAACAATTTTTCTTTTTTTTGACAATTTCTAATACAAGAATGTATGTAGAACAGCTGATGTTGCCTTGTTGTTGATTTTAAGGCTAAAGGTGAGAACATAAGCTTCTTCTATCAAATGTTCTACACAACGACCACTTGATAAGTAAATCAAATTTCTCAAAACGAAATTACAATGAGAAACAACCGTTCTGTGAGTTCCGACAGATCATTTCAATGACTACGTGTTCAGAAATTTAAATTTAATTTTCGAAACAATCTCTATGCCTCTCACTCTCTTCCTATCTTCTCACTCTCGCACGGCGTTACTAATGAGAATTTTGAAAGAAAAGTAGGAAAAAGCTATTTAACTTTTCTTTTATTTTCTAACAATAAAGAAAAGTTTAAAATTGATAAGAAAATAATTAGAGTAGTGTAAATTTGAGAAATGATTTAGGTGAATGGAGTCGCATAGGCGAAGACCGATGAGGCAACAATCGAAAGCTGACATCTAAGCTGTTGTTTCGTCCAAAGCAATGATCCTTGGCATATGTATGACTACTTCATAGCAATTTTAAACTGTCGTTAAATGACAGGTGAGCCAAACCTATTGAAAAGCTATAAATTCCCTTTCATTTTTAAACAGAGACAGAGTAAGAATGTGAGAGAGAGATAAAGAGAGAGAGAGAAAGAAACAAAAAAACTTTTCAAAGTGTTTTTAACCTTCTGATTCACGTTTTTATGAAAATAAACTATGGAAACTGGAAATTTTTATCGAGTTTTGATGGAAAATGAAAGAAAAAAAATTTGAAAAAGAAGTTAAATATTCAAATTTGATAGATAAAGCTGAAGAGAAGTAGCTTCTTCATCTTCATTCATTCATGAAATCAAAAATGTCCGGAAGAAGATGAGTATCTTCATTTACATTTGAAAATTGAAAAGTGTTCAAATATATATTAATAAAGAAAAATGTGAAGTGTCTAAATAAATAATTGAAATCACAGAGATGATAGAGAGAGAGGGAGAGAGCTATAGAGAGGGTGAGAGAAACAAAAAAGAGAAAAAGTTTATCGAAATGGATGGATAGGCAAAAGGACAATCAATTGCAATCCAAAGGTACATCGTCAGGCGACAGAAAAAGTACTGAAAAGACTTTTTTAATCTTAAACGAACTTGTAGAAAAGTTAAAAGAATTTGGAAACAAAAAATGATGAGACCCATAGAGAGAGAGAGAGAGATGTGATTAAACAAAAAAGAAGAAGGAAAGGCATGACAAGGGGGTAATAGTGAAAAGTGTCCTTATTATATGATATAATAAAGACTATAAGGACAAGATGACTGTAAGGATGGGATGAGACAGAGTAACAGAGAGATAGAGAGAGACAGTAAGGGAAATCAGAGAAGAGGTGTAGGAATGTTGTTTTAAAGTAATTTAGAAACAATGACAGCGCAAAAAAAACGATTGTTAACTATATATAGGCATATAAATTATCTTTCTCTCTCATTATACATATATATGTGTATAGTATACGTATATGGAGTCAGATAGACTATATGAGATTGATATCGATGATATAATTGACATACGAAAGAGAATCTAAAGAAACATTATGGTCAAGTTGGCAGATGAACAAATAATGATGAGGGACGATAACAAGCCACATTCGCTAGTGATGCAAATGGAAATAAAAAAAACCGAACAGATCGTTTACATTAGCATTTTAACGATCTAATTAAGGGAGAAGCTTCTTTCTGATTAACAGTCCCCTTATCAGGTATGTGTATTAGCGAAGAAATATGTTAAAAAAGGAACAAATTTTTGAGAGAAAAATAAGAATTGACAGCAGCAACACCATTCAGCAGCGGCGGCAGCAGTAGCAAGAGACAGGAGAAAGGGAGGGGGCATAGGAAGAAGGCAAAGAGTTACGAAGTCCAGAAAATACAAAAAAGGAAAAGAAGAGAAGACTATAAGATGTCAATCAATAGATGTCTGTAATTCGCCAAGAAATTAGAAAATGAATATGATATACATATATATTAAATATAGTATGAATGAAATGAAATCCCAATGTACAAGAGAAAGAGAGAGAGAGAGAAAGATATGGTTTGATTGGTGATCGAGGCTGTGAATGCGAATGTGTGGGGGCGATAATGAAATTGATTGAAGATGACAATTATTCCGAAAAAATAAAAATAATTCAATTGTAATGTTGATTATAACAATTACAATAGTTGTAAGCATTACAAAAACACGTTTCGTTGCTTATACTATTCTCATATAGTTAAGATAACATTTATCTATAATTAATGAAAATAGCCATTGGGTATTGCTGAATTTACACCAACCACCATTTCACACAGTTGAACGTGATTGAAGATGAACAATGGCTGAGATGAGGATGGACTGTTGAATACACAATGAAGGACAGTTCGAACGATTATGCTAATTCATATGTGAAATTACAGTTTTATATACGTATACTATATCATATAAATAATAAATAGTAAGTCATCTATATATGTATATTACAGTCAAGCTGAAAATAAAAAATGACTTCAGATGATCATGTGGATGATGATGAGATGACGACGGTCAAGTGGATTCACACTTTATATTTGAAAGATTGCATGAGATTAAGAAGCATTTGTCTAATTGAGGAGAACAAGAACCTCACTAACAATACTTCACAGATGTTCAAGTATGATAGAGTGAAGCAAATTAAGAGAGATAGAGATAAATCATATAATCATTGCCTGAATATCTGGCAGAAGAAGAAGCAGAAGAATAAGAAAAAAAAGGATAAAGAATGAACAACAGTCAAGAAACGACTAAACAGATTAGCGTAAATTGAGGTGGAATTGCGTCAGATATAAACATCTGGTAATACATCTCAGTCATTTTAATTGACAGTACCTTCTTCTCTACTGCTCATAATAATGTGCTCTATTCACACATGGAGTCTGATGCGGGTCGTGAAGGATGGTGACATCGTAATGCTGATCATGTACTCTCCGAAATATAAAAGTTTACTTCAATATATACATTTTATAACTTCGAAGCAGAAGCTTCTTCATTAAGCTTATTGTAAAATGCAATATGCTTAGAAGAAGTTTAGAAGAAATCATCTTGTTCAAAATGACATAAATGACAAAGACGTTTTCAGGAGAAGCTTATGGAATGAGCAATTATCGGCGTAGAAAGGAGGGATAGAATAAGCTATGGAGACGGAAATAAGATGAAGCACAACTATATGAAGTATATTAGAAGAAATGATGAAGAACTTGAATGAAGTCAGGATATAAAAGAAGATTTTAGGCTTCATATTCGCCTCCGACAGCAGCTGAATGAAGGCGAATGAGCACGATGCAGAGATATAGTCTTTAGCAGTGTTTTTTTTCCCATTTCTCTTAGATTTCAATTTCTCATTGCATAGTTAATGAGAAGCTAAAAAGAGATTAACTATATCGTGTGTTGCTGTTGCTGCTGTTTGGTCAATCTTCATGTAGACTACAAACATACACAGAGAAAATATGAAAAAGTCTATTTGAAACAACTTCTAAGTATGTTTCAATTCAGACATCTAAGGATGAGACTGCGCGTGAAATACAATTCCCTTTGGAATCAACAAGAAGAAGAAGCTTAGTAAAGAAATGATGATTCTGTCAAGACCTTGTCTTTGAAGCTTATACACATACCAATACATATCTCTCTATATCTATACGAATAGAATAAGAAATAAAAACTATATATGACAATATAATTCTTCTTTCATGAAAGCTTACAAGTACAGCTGTATGATGAGAGAGAGAAAGAGACAAAAGCAGAAAGAAGTGATGAATGAAGAAGTATGATGATGACTTACGTGTTGGTGGTGGTTTGGTTTTTGAGTCGACTGAATGCAACCTATTCAAATGAGGAAGAGAATGAAAAACATTTTAAATCCACGTAATGTTTTTATGCTAATGAGATAAATAGATCCCTTGCGCAGCCCATAAACTTAATTAGCATATATGCAAATGAGTATAAACTCTACCAAACAGCTAAGACTACACCGTGGACTTCATAAAAACACAGAGCAGAATAGCATAATTATAACAAAATAATTTAATCAAATGAAAAACACTGAAAGAGAATATCAAAAGTTGACTGAGGATTTTCGCAAAACTAAAGAATCGAATGGCTGATTGAAAAGAAATTAAACGTTATTGACAACTGGTCATCTGGAAAACTGATGATCGTTCCGAAGCAGAATTAATGAACCGTTCTGGAATCTTTTGGCAAAGAATTTTTTTCTGTTTCAACTCATCTCGCTTAGTCTCTCTCTTTGTCAGTCTCAGTCTCTGTCAATCGTTGTTTCACTTTCGCTCTATTTTCCTCTCTTGCTGCCTGTATCATTTGTACATACTTACCCATTACCCGTCATGAAAAGGCGCTCCTCACACACATTGCTTCTGCTTCTCTTCTTCCTTACTCTCCTGCTCTCACAGTGGCAGTTTAATGAAATTTTCTTTATTTCTCGCAGTTGAAACTGTCTTCATTAATAATTTATATAATTTTTCGAGAATTATTTGATGCTTAAGATGACAGTAGAAAGGCTTCGAAAGCTATTAGTAAGTTCGAGACCATTTAATGGAGAATCCTATAATTGCTGTTGACTTGTCTAACAAATCAATTATGATTTCATCAATTCTCCCACAAAATCCAATTTGGGCTCTTTAAACGATTTACTTAATTACATTAACATCTTAATAATAAACGAATATAACATATAATGACAGAAAATATGAATATACAAATGATTCAGAGTTACGTAGCCTTCGTAAAATCGTCCGAGGTTTATTCAATCCAGTGATATCTGAATCGCTGGCTAAGATGTAACTTAAGATTTCATTTTGTCACCTTTCTGATTTAGCCAGTCTTTACAGCTTTTCGGCAATTCCTGTAAACCGAGAACTTCATCCAACAGCTCGATTAAAGCACTGAAATGTATAGGTGTTATAGATCTTTCTGTCAAATCCTTTTATTAGTTCAACTGTGATGTCTGATGGGTAAGAGCGATTAAGAATCTGCCTGCACTTGTGCCACATACATCATAATTCTCCCAAACAAAGCATTTGTCATATGAATGAACACTTCTTAACAGTTACTATGTTAAACTTAAACTTTTTTTGAAGATTATGTACTTGCAAAGATTCGATATTCCCACATTTATGTTGTCCATACCTCCTTCCATGATTGACATCATTTCTGATTGCAAGTAAAAGGCCATTTGCTTGCACTTCTCTGTTATTTTTCGTCCGTTTTCGGACCAACAAGGTAAAGTATGGGTGTTAAACTCTGAAACAAATAGGATTGAGGTTATGAGAAGGGAAGGAACGATGCTAGAGATACCTGTGTCATTTCTGTAGTGTTCACAAAGAATATTCCATGACTTCTGTCCGTATTCCAGAATTTTCTTCACCTGGTTATTCGGGCATGAGTTCAAACAAGAATTATAATTATCATTTAATCTGAAGCATATGACTAGAAGCTGTGATGTATATAACTATGCTTACTTGCATAATTTATCTAATTTCCTCTCAAGTAATCCTTTCTGACTATATGAACTTAATAAAGCTTGTAAAGGTGTGACCATGTCGATAGTCCATTCAGATGCGACATCTGACATTTCTGATTGCATATGATGTAACTGAAATCTCGTATCCATAATGATGAATTGAAATACATTATACTAATCACTTACATAGTTATCTTTACATCGTAAGAAGCATGGCTCAGGCTGTGATGCTGTTAGATGAGCACATAAATTAGTGAAAAACAATGTTAAAATCATCTAAAACTAGTTGATATAAATGGTTAGAAAGAAAGAAAAAATAAAAATTAAGAAAAATCACTTCTCTTTATAATATAATGGAAAAGCAGAAGAGTTTTTGAAAAGAAAAGTTCACTTCTCGTATACTCAAGGGGAATGTGAGACAAATAAAATCAGAGAAGAATATAAGATGAATGAGCGAAGAGGGAGATGTTAAGACACAATAAATAAAAAAACTGAAAGGTTCAATTCATTTCAATTCATAAAGATTCAATTTGTTAGCCAAAGAATCTATGATTCGAATGTCCTTAGATGGAGCTGCTCTTCTATTGATAGCATTCACATCTATAGCCCAGGATAGAAATACAGCTGTATATGTGATCATTGGATGGCCAAAAAAACACAAAAAAATTGTGAATTCACACAAAATGTGACGGAAAGACGAAGCTTCCGAAGTTTCTAACATTCAGCTTGTCTTTGGGACATGCTTCGTCTATGCCAATTACATTCTATTACTTTAGGCTTTAATTTGGAGACGAGGTTAAGACTAACATATAAAGTTTATTTTTTCATTGCTTCTCTTTAGAACAGAAAGATTTGAAAGTAGAGTTCAATGTGGTTCATAGCTTTTCCTTTTTATACCCTCCGTTTGGCAATATTTCATATGTTGTTTTATGATTTCTTTCTTCTAGTCGAAATTAAGCCAACGAATGACTTCAGGACATCACTTAGATGTCAATAAACTCTCTCGTAACAACTCCTTGGGTGTAAAGCTCCTCTGAAACTTGCAGCAAATTTCCTGAAAGAGCCAACCGTTCTCTGCATGTTTTCAAGAGAAAATGAAGATCTGGGCAAGTGGAAAAGTGCACAACAACTAACTAACTCATTCGACACAGAATGAAACTTCTTTGAAATTCCACGTGAGTTTCATTTGATGTCAGCTGTTGCGTGAAGCAGTTCGCTTGATGTTTTCAACTCTCTGGAAGAGTTTTCCTCAATACCTCTTTGCTTTGCTCTCAGAGAGAGAGAGATAGAGAGTGTGATAGAGTAGACATCTCGCAACTCAATACTTGTATAGCTAGCTGCGCATGAGGAATCTATTGTTTCTTGGAAGCACGTGTGAATGAAGAGTAAAGAAGATAAAAATGAATTTTATCTCAAATAAATCGTTTAATTATATGGCAGACGTCAATTTTTGGCTTCCATGCTCCAGTGGGGGACAATATGTGGATGGAATGTCTCCTTAATTGATAACACAATGATAACAGAATCGTTCTTCAGATAAAGCTTAAATTATAAGCAAACGTTTATATTGATTTTTGTGTATAAGATATGCAGTTAGAGAAACTTTTTGATTTCAAAACGATTTCAACTTCATTTCATCGTTCATTCATCTTTCTATATATGTCCATTGAAGACCAACGCAAGTATGAAAAACGCAAAATGTTGGACAACAGTGGCAATTATTCTTTTTATCCTTGGAGCACTTCTGCTTGCAGCAGGTCTTGTAGTACAGCTTAGCGTATTTCCAAATGTAGTTAAGAAAGGAATAGATAAAGTAATATAACTACGCTGACTATATCATTATCTATAACCATTTAGGGCAAAGTCTTAGGTTTAAATAGTGATGGATCATTTAATAGCTTTACTAATTCTTGGGCGAATCCACAATACATCAGTACAATGCAGTATTGGACTATGGATTACAAGAATCCTATTGGCATGCTCAATCGAGCATTGTATCCTGATGTGCTGGAGAAAGGACCATACTCATACACGTAAGAGGTTTCTGTTTATCTGGAAAGCCTTTTGATTCATTTTCAGAGAGAAAATGCTCTCCGATAATATTAATTTCTCAGACGATGGAAAGAGGATGAATTTTACACAGAAAACAACATACTTCTTCAATGCAGCAAAATCCTGTCCAACCTGCAATCCTTATGTGGATACCGTTACGGTCCCTGACATAAGTTTCATTGTAAGAGTCTAGTTTGAGCCATCACTAAGCAACTCGCTCTCTTAGCTTGCCATGAATGCAATCGAACAAGCTGTAGAGAAGTTCTTGGCGACTCCTTTGTTAGGTACAATTTGCAAAAAACTTCACAAAGAAGAGTTGTGTGGGGTATGTTTTAATCATATTTTTCTTTTATTATTCAGATTGTTATTATTAGAACATTGCAACAATAATTGAAAGAGAATTAGGTACAGCTATGGACTTGTTTGGAATTGGCCCATTCGTGACTGTTGTGAGTACTTGTGTCAAACTCATGCTTTTGAAAATAAGATGATGTTTTCAGACTGTTGATCAACTCATTTTCTCTGGTTATAACACACCAGTTGTGGATAAGCTCGTTAACAGAGTTATCAAAATATTAAATGAAATGATAGGAACTGACCTAATTCCTCAGCAGCCACCTGTACCTGTTAATCTCAATGTACACTTGCTCTCCCATCATGCTCTGTTATTGAAAACATTTTTAGAGCGGAAATGGCACAGCAGATTTCCAGTATACTGTATTAACTGGAAAAACAGATCCTCAACTATCTGGTTTCATCCAATCTTTCATTAGCACCACGAATGCTACTGGAATGTCTAGCAACGGTGATATGTTACCTCCCAATTGGTGTGTGATAAGGAACTAAGATACATAAAGTTAATCCGTTATATCATAGGTGGCCTAAAGCTAACACTGGAAACTGTACAGGTGACAACGGCATTCACGCTCTCAAAATCTTCGGAACAAGTAATCGAACACCGCGGATACAAAAGATAGTATTATATTGTAGATGCCGACTTCTTCAAATCACACATACAGAAAACCGATAAGCTACCACTCTACATTGATGATGTCTGCAGGTAACGTATAAGGTGATTGTGAAAAAAAAATGATACTTACAGATCATCTTTATTGGTTTATGATAGAGATGTCACCGTACAGGGAATTAAGGCTTATCGCTTTGTTCTACCAGCTTCTGAATTTGATTGGACGTGAGACTTTTAACACTTTAAAATAGAAACAATCCTTTTTCAATATCTCAGTGAGCCTTCTAACTGTGGATTCTGTGTACCTCTCGCCTATGGCGCTTATAATTTACCCAAGAATTCCACTTGCATGCCCTCAGGCTTGTTGGACATTAGTGGTTGTAGTGCAGGTTGATAAAAACGGCCTCTACAACTTGACATATATTTGCTCACAGGTGCTCCGATCATGATATCAAAAGCTCATTTCTATCAAGCTCACCCCTTAGTTCAGTCCTTTGTTCCTCGATTTAAACCAAATTACGATGATGATGAAACAACTTTGGATATCGAGCCAGTTCAGTAATCCTACAAATCCAAAAACAGATTTTTATTGTAGAACACTGGAACTGTCCTGAATGCAAACAAGCGATTGCAAATCAATGTTTTCATGAACCAGATGCCTCATATTGCGTAAGAAGATCAAATCTGAAAGGCTAGGGAAATGAGAATATGAATTCAGGGCTTATTCTGTACTTCGTCCCGGAGCTTATCCTTTAGTACGTCTTAACGAATCTTTCGTTATGGATCAAGGAACAAAAGATCAACTCAACTCACAACTCTTTGTTCCTCAGAAAGTGATCACAATTATTTGCTGGACCAGTGTCGGAGTTGGAGGTAAACGTTTGCTTTGAATGTCAGCTATAGTGAACCGCGTGAAAACTCTTCATTTACAAGCTAATGAACGATCAGTTCGTTTGCATTTAACGACTTCCTCGAATCAGCTTAGAAATGCTCCTTATTTCAGGTTTCCTCATGGCCTTATCGGTGATTATTCTACTTATCACTTTCTGTGTTAAGAGGGAAACAGATAAAAAAGAAAACTAAAAACACTTTATTGCATAAAAAATGCCTTTTACATTGTTTTATAATGAGAGAATAAATTATTAATCAAATCAGATTGAGAGTCCGTTTCTAACTAAAACAGCCTTCTCATGAGTGAAAGTATCAAAACCGTATTTCAAGTTGAGTCGTCCCATACCACTGTTTCCGACACCACCGAATGGAGCGCAGTGTACTGCAATATTTAGCTTTACTACGAACTGATCAGAAAAAGACTTACAGAAACCATGTGCCATGACATCGTTGATAGTAACTCCACCGCTGGATGTTAAAGCAACGAATTTCTTTGCCTAAGCAAATACGATATGAGGTTTATGTGAATGGCATATTTGCAATACCTTCTCTTGGTCCTTGGTGAAGATGTAAGCTCCTAATGGCTTCTCACGTTCAACAACAAATTTAACAGATTCTTCGAAGCTTGGGGAAACAATAATTGGCAAGTAGGGTCCGAAGATTTCTTCGTTCATGAAAACATCATCTTGCTCGATGGCAATGACTGCTGGTGGCAAAAATTTCTCTGTTCTATCAGCAGATTCATCGGACATGCTGAAGATTTCTCCCTTTGTGTTACTTAAGATGTTTGATAAACGGCTGAAATGTGAATGATAAGGAATTTCAATTTTTTTCAGCGAATATTACTCGAAATGACGCTCGTGAACGATTCTAGCGAATTCTTGATTCTGCTTCAATGGAAGCATGGAGTCGTAGACCTTCTTGATAGCAGCAATAAGCTTTGGTCTGATTTCAGCAGTGGTTAAAACCTATAAAAACAACAATAGAAATTCTGCAAACTTGTGGATTATTACGTAATCAGCAGAAATACAGATTTGTCCACAGTTGAGAGTCTTAGCGAAGACGATTTTCTTGGCGGCATCGTCAAGATCTGCATCAGGCTCAACCAAAACAGGGCTGAACAGATATCGATAGACATTGTATAAAACCAAAGCGTCTTACTTCTTTCCTCCGAGTTCCAAAGTAACTGGAGTCAAGTTCTTGGAAGCAGCAGACATGATGATTCTTCCAACATTTGGGTTACCGGTGTACATGATATAGTCGAATTTCTCCTCCAAGAGAGAAGTCACTTCTGGGACAGCTCCTTCAACAGCCACAAACACTCTCTGAAGAAGTAGAGCCATGAATTAAATGCAAAATTTGAAAATATCCTACGGGGTCGAAGGTTTGGTTGACCAAACGAGCGAAGACAGATGAGAAAGTTGGAGCAACTTCGGACAGCTTGAGGACAACAGTGTTTCCAGCAGCGAAGGCAGAAACAGATGGTCCGGAACAGATCAAGGGGAAGTTCCATGGAGCAATAACGAGAACGACTCCGTATCCTTCTCTGTATACGAAAGCTTGATCATCAGTTCCAGTGAATGGAGCGGTGGAAACCTTCAAACCAATTCGATTAAATTGAATAATACTATTTGGTATAATTACCTTGATTGGGGCAGCCCAACTCTCGAGGTTAGCGATTGCACTATCGATTTCACGAACAAGGTGATCAGGTTCGGTACTGATCTGAAGAAAACAAAGTCAAAATAATAAAATAGAAATTAAAAAAGGACATACACGGTGAAGATCAGTGTAGATGGCATCAGTGATTTCCTTAGCATGAGTTTGGATAAGATTCTTGTAGGTAGTAAGAATCTTCTTGCGCTCCTCAAGGGAGTTCAAGGCTCCACTTCTCCAGTAAGCACGTTGGTTCTCGACAAGCTAAAAACATTATGGTTGAGAAAAGAAAAAGAGAGATAGAAGAAAAGTAACCAACCTGATGGTAGGACATTCTGCAAATGAAATGTTAACGGCAACTGGCAACTCTTAAATGTTTGTTTCAAAAATGATGACAATGACTAAAGGATAGAAAACTGATGACAATTGAGAGAGCGAAATGATGACAAAAGCCTCTAGTTTGATTAAATTTTGATCGGGCTATAGCAAAACAAATAAAGTATAACTGATAAAAGATATAGTTGGGTGGGATCCATTTATGATCTAAGGAAAGCTTATGCGAATGATCTCCGGGATAGCAATGTTAGTTCTTAGTGTTTAGATGATAGCGAGAAAAAACATTTTTTGCCAAAACCATTGACGAAAATACAAACGAAAAAATTCAAAAGATGATCGTCAAACAATCATAACGGATCGATAACATTTAGAGAAAAACAGAATAAATATACAAAATATTATTATTAATATTGATTTGGCAGTAAGGTAGGAGAGATAAGAGAAGCGTCAGTGATTATTTGCACCAAGCCTGGACTAATGAGGAAATCGGGATTCTCCCTTTTTGCTCTATTTTCGGTTATTATTTTATTTTTTTCTCTCAATCGGCTTCATCTATCATATCTTAATTTAACATAACTGCTATTTTCACATCTTTCCAAGTTTGGAGACTATTGATAAGAGAGGTTTCGTTTGTGTTTTTTGCAATTCGAAAGTACTCGCTTCTTTTATCCCATTCTCATATTACTCGTCATCTCTGTTCCAATTGAAATATCATCGCGTATTACTCACAACACATAGTCAACAGACATTGAATTCTTTTTTCTTTTTAGTTTTTTACTTTTACTTCCTAATGAAATCATGGACGGGGAGGAAGATGTGAAACAATCGTTTATCGCACAAAATAATTGCAATTCTAGCACAAATTTGATCAATGATAAGATCGATGGTAATACAGCCACTGTTTCTAGTGACCCGACTTTGGATAAGGTGCGTGTAATCAAGGACTCCCAGTGTTTACATTTATGTTGATTATGTTAGAACGAAAACAATGAAAACAATTCCAATCAATGTTCGAACATGGACTCTGAACAGGCAGCTAGTCTTTACCCGGAATTTGCCGGAGACACCTCCAGTGTTTCCAGCTCTGTTTCGGATTTCACAATGTTCATAAAACCTGCTACGTATCCTGATTTCACACAAGTAAGTGCCGATCTCTGTTTGCCTTTTCAAATTTAATATGCCGCTTCTTTTCAATAGGATCCATTTGACATTCAACCAGGAAATGAACATTCACAGATACCTTCGCCAGAGGAAAGATCACTAGTGAGTGGGAGAAATTGGAAAAGAACAGAAATTTCTCATTAAAATCGAAAGTAGAAAGTAACGTTACAGAATTCTACAGCATCAACACCTAACTCGGATGGAATTACTCCTGGGTCCTCTAAAGTTCCAGAAGCTGGGAAGGATGAGAATATCCCTGAAAATCCTCTGCAACCAAGGTACAAAATAGGGCAAAAAGTACTTGTTATCAAATTTTATTTTTTTAAAGAACTTCATCCATGGCTGAGAGTGATAAATCAATAAAACAACCTGTTAGAGGTTTGAAAAAGAGTGTTTCAATCCTCATACCAGCGATTGGCAAAATAAAAGAGAAAGTAAGTTATGATTCGTAAACTATTAATAGAGGAACTATAAAACAGTTCCATAAATACGTAATAGTACGTTATAGTATTCGCTCATCCCTCATCCCGTTCAAACTTCAAAACTTTGGGGTTACCTGAACGTTTTGAGGGAAGACGAATTCTCAGTTGATAGGCGAAGCTTTTCAACCTCGTCCTCTCAAATCAAACAGATAACCCCCCATAAAAGTTTTATATTCAGTTTCAAAAAAAGAGTGATATGGCCCGAGATCGAAGGCGAAGTACTTGTTCAGAACAAACTCCTTTACTAGCTGGTTGCAGGTGCCATAAATCGTTGAGATGATGACAATAATTTTTTTTATTCCTAGATCGTTACCTAACGTTGCGGATGATGGTACCTCAGCTATTGTAGATTATCCAGAAGCACCTGCCCATACCAGATCTGAGGTATGATTTTGTTAATGAATGTATCATCACTGTAATAACTGTCAGATAGGAAGGGATGAGTTTCAAAAGAAACGTAGAAGTCGAAGGCGTCGTTATAACACAGAGCGTTCTGAACGTCCAAAACTATTAAGGTTGGTACTTTTTTCAAACTTTTCTTGGTGTTCTGGACAACTTATACTGCATACTGATCACCGGCAAATAAATCTGGTTATAGCATATCCTTAGTTTTATTTTTTATCTCCAACTCAATGAATGCAACCGCTCTTTGCGTTCGTTGGCGCTAAAATGAATTTTCCATGGCGGAAACAGTCTTGAACTGAATGAAGCTCTTAGACAAGACACAAAACCACAGAATCAGCAATTTTCCTCATTTTGTACGTTTAACTCGTCATTTGTCCACCTTAGATTGCAAATAAGTTATATGGAGTGAGTTTATCCCTTTTACCAATATCGTGCGCCTTCTTTTCTTGTCAACTTAATTCCCTGCGACAGCAATGATTTAGCTGAGGCCAGTTTAGTATGTTATTGCCTACGGGATTTGAGTCTAAGTCAACTGCTGTAAGATTAGGACAACAAAGTCTTTTGGCTACGTGGCTGCGGGCATGAGAGGAGAGTGCGGCTTCTACCACAAGCTGAATCGATTCACTGCGTAGTTACTCTTGTTTCTTTGACTTCGTGTGTAGGCAGCACACCTTCGTTCATGCTGAATGGCAAAATGGTCGGAAATAGTTCAGCAGCGTTTAGCCTTGACCGGTTTTAAAAACTCTGAAAAAGCTTCACCTCAAATCCTATTCGCAAACCTTCGAATTTTTAAAAAATAATTTTCTTCCTTGTTCCCTAAATTTCATGATTTATCGCTGTATTTGTGAAATTGAATACTTACGAAATTTTTCTTTCCCGTTTCTCTCGTTCGAACAAGTTCAGTAAGCGAGCCTGAAAAATCATTTGGTCCGCGCCTTTTTCCTGTATAGCCCAAAACGTTGCAGATAACTAAGATGTTCGAGAAATACTTAACCCGTGTTATGCTTTTTTGTAGAGTTCAGCTCAAACTTGACTGACACGCTTTTCGTAGAGAAAACAACTGACGTCATGATACATTCTTTGTAATGCTGCTCCAGCTGTTCTGTCTTGTGCCATTGCATCTCCCAGCTGACTTTTGAAAATCCTCGCTTTTTTCACATTGATATCGTCGTGAAGATTTTCAATTTTACTTAATGCGTCTGAACGTTTTTGTTCTCATTGACGCCGTTACTTACTGCTCTGACCAAATCTTTCTTGAAAAGCCAACTTTTTTCTTCTTTTTATCCAATGAGAGCATAGGTTAAACCCCCAGCACAGCTGGAATCAGGCCATTTCTTTACATGTGTAGGTCGTCTTTTCTTTGGCTTCTGTATGCAACGCGTCATTTAAGGGCGATCTATACTGCAGATCTGACGCTTCTCCAATCACTCTTCCTAATCCCAAGTGTTGTACAATATTCAGAATTATCATACAAAAAAAGACTTGATCCAAATCCTGTTTTGACTTTATACTTTCTAGTGTTATTGTATCAGTTTCAGTTTATGAAAAGAGAGAGAGAAAAGGGGTTAGAGAGTGAGAGAAAGTATTAGAAAGCTTCTACATATTTCGCAGTAGCAGATGATTCTGTTTATCAAATAGAAAACATATCATAGCTGTGCCTTTCCAATGCTCCTTTTTCATGAATATTATTAATTTCAAATAAATTCTCCTTCATTTCTTCGTATAAAATGGATTTTTAATGATCTTGCACTTTGCTCTCTCAGAACCGCTTTTTCATTTCGAAAGTTAGACGCCAACTTCCTAGAAAGCTATTCGCATCCTTTATGGTAAACAGATTCACAATTGATTCTACGATTATTTACTTTACGAACTTATTCCTCCTAATTCTATTGTAACATATGCAAAGTCTCAAGTCTCACACCCAGGCGGTTAATATTCAACATGTTCTATAAAAATCGATAGTGCTGCTTGCGGATGTTTGCTTGGATAGTTAACGGAATCGGGAAAACGTTTATAATCGTTTTGGTTGAGATGTATAAAGGCCATATGACATGATGGTTTCTAAGATCTCTCCATTCTTTGCCCTTATATGTTTAAATATGGGAAATGTTGAAACAATACATTTATCCCTATCCTTTCTACGTCATATAGTGGTGGGATAGGTCGGGTGTTTTGTTTGTATCTGGAATATGTTATTCTTCAATGCCTTCCTTCCTTCTTTTTGGTCTCTTCTTCTTCTTCCATCATCCATTTCTCTGTTCACATATTGTTTTCTTTATCTTTCTCTCCATATACATCTTCACTGACTTTTTGTTTCCAATAATTCTCACGCTAACCATCACGATGTTGCGCAAATCCACATACACATTTCCTTTCTAATATTATCTACCTAGAGTATTGATCTCGGTGTCCTCCCTTTTTCTCTTTAAAACGCTTTTGCCTGCCATTCTCTCTCTCCCTCTCTCCATCCTACTTCGTTTACATGGACGCTTTCGTGTACTCCAACATGATATCGCTAGCATATATGTAGCTTCAGAGTTTGCGCATGAGTTTCATTTAAAGTTACTTTAAACTTATGGTTCAATGTCGGAAGTATTTGTTGTTGATCGGGCAGTTATGCCTCATACCAGTAAAGAAAAGAACGAAAAGTTGTCTAGAACACCAATTATGGATCGAAAAGAGAGGTTTGCCTTCACAGCACACACGCTAGGTAGACAAAGCTTAATTTTCTAATTTTAGGCCTTTCATTGCTTCACCATTTATGCCAATACCAACTCAAGTAGCTACTGAAGTAGATAGACGTTCCTTTATTGGAGGATTGCCAAAGTAGAGAAGAAGCACTTCCAACTAACCTATACTAATACTGTGCCGTTCTTATAGAGATTCCAACAAGAACGTTCTTACCTATGGAAGTTCCACTCGTCCCGCAGAAGAAGGATTGTTACGTAAAAAATCGGAGCAGGACTGCGATTCAGAAGAGTTAGTTAATTAGGTTTCCGGCGATGATGCTAAGCGTTCAACTTTCAGCGATCCATCCTCATCAGATAGCGATTCTGAGATCTCTATCAAGAAGGTAGCATTCTAAAAGTTTGACATTCCAAGTAATCAGTTGTTTTAAGCCTTTTCTATTTGATCTTTCTTCGAAAGAATGGTTGACTATAGCTATGTTAGCCATCGCTAATTTATCTTCAACAGTAGCCTTTAGTTGTATAGCTCCTTTCTATCCTAACGAAGTAAGAGTTTCTTATCTTAACCCCTCTCACATTTCCTGTTTCTTAGGCTGCTCTGAAAGGAATGACAGAAACTCAAACTGGAATGGTTTTTGGAGTGTTTGAGTTGACTATGTTCTTGACTGCTCCAATTTTTGGAAAATATGTAAGATTCTATTGTTAGAGAAATATAAGCCTCTGATGTTTATAGATGATTGCGATAGGATCTAAAAGAATGTTCGTTGTGGGATTATTGATAACCTCGGCCACTGCTATTTTGTTCGGGTACATAGTGGACTAGCTATAGCTCTAAAACGCATCAATTCCAGTTTTTTGAACTTCATACCGTCCGGGACCTTGTTTTTCTGGGCGTCTTTCATCATTCGAATCTTCGAAGCCATAGGAGATGCAGCTTTTATCACTTCAAGTTTTGCTATTTCTGCTAAATGCTTTCCGGGGAGAATAACTGTCATTGTGGTACGTGAAGAGATCAGGTTACGAGGGATTCAAAGAGCTTTTTAGGGAGTTATGGAAACTTTTGCGGGTCTTGGGTATTCTGTAGGTCCTCTGATTGGAGGAGTTTTGTACGAGTTTGGAGGATTCCAAGTGCCTTTCCTCTTTTTGGGTTGTTTGCTCTTTTTCATAGCCGCATTGAGCTATTTTCTCTTAGAACCACTAACAGGTGATTTGAATGAACTCTGCAATCATAAAATAATCCAATCTTAGATCAAGAAGTTAATGATGAGAAAGGAATGATGAGCATGCTCAAAATCCCAATGATATGGATCATGTTATACTCAATCGTTGCATGTGCGATTTCTCTTTCCTATTTGGACCCAACTTTAGCCGGTCATCTTTTGTCGGTAAAAACTCGTGTTCATATTCTCGCTCTAATGGAACGTTCCAATTACAGTTTGAACTATCTCCCACATGGGTTGGGCTTATGTTTTTATTGTGTGGAGGAGTTTACACCATTGCTGCTCCGATATGCGGATGGCTGATAGATAAATGCCGCTGTACAATGCAGCTCATGCTCTTTGGTTCACTTTTAAATGTATTCGGGATGTTGTTGATCGGACCTTCGCCGTTCTTGAACCTAGAAAAGTATAGTTGTGGATTTGATAAAAAGGACAATCTATTTCTTTCAGGAACATATATATAATTGGATTTAGTTTATCGCTATTAGGTATAGCCGCTGGTGCCCAATATATACCGACTTTCCAAGCATGTTTGGATGCAGCAAAGTAATTCCATTATTTGTTAATGCTTTCAAATATATCAACCTTATAGGGAAAACGGTTATGAAGACAATTTCCATACGTATGGGTTGGTATCCGGCCTGTTCCAGTCAGCATTCGCATTCGGGTAATTGTTTGGCAATCAATTCACATGCTGACGTTGGTGATGTTTTAGATCCTTCTTCGGTCCTACTGTCGGAGGATTTGCTGTAGAACGAATTGGATTCCCTTGGACTTGCTCGATAATTGCGTTCATACAGGTTATGTTTGTGAGTTCCATTCCGCTACATGAACAAATTGATTAAAATGCTGATTTTTACAGATATGCACGGTTTTTGTTTTCTACGGTTACCGTTCTTGCTTCAGAAAGAAATGAGATATCAGGTCGTGATCAACTTTCATATCTTTTTTTTTACCTGTACAAATCAAATGTAAATTAATTGAACTAGTCGCAGGTTGTAATACTCTCAAAGAATATGTTTTCAGTTTGTTTGAAGTCATTGTATTGTTTATAGGTAGATTACTTTTTATGTTGTAGAGCTTTAATAATATTTTCTAATCTTCTAATTTGTTATATCGTTTGATAGCTCCAATAAATGTTTTTTTTAATTAAAAACGTCTTCAATTTAAAGATCTATGAACAATGGGAGAAAAAGAGAGAAAGAGAGAGACAGGACTAAAGATGCAATAGGTACATGAACGTGCTTCGCTTGCTTCATCGCCATTATTTTGTTCGGAAAAAAAGTTGAACCTGGTCGATCATGGTCAGCATGAGGCTGGGCGTCAAAGATAATAGCCGGAAAAAGGAACTGGAAGCTCAAGAATGGTACCATGGCTTTCGCTCTCGTAAAGATGTAAGGTAAGTTTCTTAATTTAGCAATGTCGTGCCTGTCACCAACTTTACATAACCTTTGAAACATTTTTTCACCACTTTTCGCTTCAGCGTTTTAATTTGCGAGCCGGGTGCTTTCCTTTTGAGAGCAACGGATTCAACCAATTTTACGACCATAGTTATTTCGGTTATGAATGAGAAAAGAGAACTGCATCATCTAACTATAGTGTATGTCAGGCACATTGCCGTTTCCGGAAATGAGCGATTTCACAAATTTATTTAAGATTCGCAAACGGTTTATGGCAATTGGGGGTTTTGAAAGACAAAGGTAAAAACGCGCGCGGATTCAAAACTATTGTTGAGTTAGTCAATCATTATAAAGTAGAATATGAGTTCATGTTATGAAAATTCTAATTTCTGAAATAAAGGCCCATCCATTGCCCATCAAAACAACGTTGAAGAAAGCTGTTACAAGACCGTCCTGGCTGATAAAGCATGTGCAAGTTAGCTTTGAGGAGAAAATAAGATTCCATTGAAAATCAAATTAACAAGTTTTATCCGTATTTAAGACTTGTTGGGCTCTGGCAACTTCTGTAATGTTTATAAGGGAGTTTACAAAAGAACTGGTGAAGCACATGACGTCGCTATAAAAGTATTCGCATTGTTAGATAATGCCCGATCTTCAAATAGATACATTCAATCAGATTTGTCACAATGGTAGAAGAGGTGACAACGTTGTGGAAGATAGAAAAAATGCTCAAAAGGCTATGACGAGTGAGGCTGAGGTTATGAGTTATTATGTACATAATCATATCATTCAAGTAAGACTCTTTAATGATTTTTACATTCTTTGATCTTTCAAGTTCTATGGACTAGCTTGTGATCATCCTCCGATTTTAATCGTTATGGAATACTGCCCAGGTGGAAGTTTGGATAAACTGTTGAAGAAAGAGAAAGAGAACATAAGTATGGCAGAACGTATAATTTATTCATTAGAGGTTTTTTAATTTCAAACTACAAAATAAGATAATATTTTGAGGCTGCTAGGGGTATGAGGTATCTGCATTCGAAACACTGCATTCACAGAGATTTGGCTGCTCGCAACTGTCTGATATCTTCTAATGGTTTCATATTCTCTGCATTAACTAATATACTATTCATATTCTTGAAGGTTATATCAAAATCGCCGACTTCGGATTGTCGAAGATTGTTGGTAATGAAGATGATGTAGATATTGAAAATGGAGGAGCAAATACTCAAATTCCGTTAAGGTCATAAGACGTACCACAAGATGATCACGTTTTTGTTTTGCTTTAGATGGATGGCTCCCGAATCATTGAAAAAACCCATGAGGTTCTGTTCGAAAACAGATGTGTGGGCATACAGTATTCTTCTTTATGAAGTAATACGAGATTGAATAGAGAAAGTACATATCTACTTATAGATTTTTAACAATGGGATCAAGCCATGGGCTGATGACACCAACTGGCCTCCAAAACAAATTGCGGGACATATAAGAAAGTGTCTTATGCCTGATTTACCTCAGAAAATGCCTAAAGATATTATTGATTTAGTAAAAACTATTTGGTTACTCATCCCCTCTTGTAAATACGCCGATCATTGACATTTTAGGGTTCTTGATGCAGATAGTCGGCCAACAATGAACGTGATATGTAACAAATTAATGGAAATTCGGAGGAAATATCCTGCACCGTCGAGTGATAAGCTAGTCATCAATAAGATCGACGGAGTCCACAGAACTCAAACAACTTTGGTATGTTCCTAGCCATAACCCATCATATATGGTTCTATTAACAGGATACGATTGATGCTGAGGATGAGAGCTGCGCAACCCAAGATTCTAAGTTGAAACGTTTTTTGATCCGGCAATTTCAACAAACATTCAGGCAAAAAACGGATTCTCATGATAATACAGAAATGACACAAAAGACTTCAATCGAAAAATGATGTTGTGATTGAAAATTCCAGAACAGGCGCGTTACTCAACTTTTTCTCTATTCTTCGGCTCACGTGATGAAATAAAGAATGGTTTTTGTTTTTGGAAATAAATGCGTTGCGCAATAGGCGAATCAGATTCATTAGGAAAATATCACGAGGGCGACAAATGGTTACTGTGTATATCGTCCTGTCAGAAATAGGGAAACAACCAATCGTCGCGCTCAAAATTTGAATAGGAGAATCAGTTGAAGTGCCATCCGTTGAACTACCGCAATGCAAGGGAATGAGTTATGATCAATTGAGAAAACTGAAAAGAGTACTGTACCGAGGAGTGAAATTTTCATGATGGCTCGACAGATAGGCTGTTCTCAAGAGATGTAATTCCTCTGTCTGGTATAGTTATTTATTATTATATATTCTAATCATATTAGAACAAATAAATTACAACAATATAATAAAATAATTAAATTTAAATTAATGAATTGTGTTCAACAGCTTCTTCGAGCTCTCAATCAGTTGCTGATTGTTCGTTCCAAATGATCCTAGCCCTTTCTGAATAGCCTCCCAGGCAGATTCTAATGATTCAACATTGCTCTCCAGATGAAAAATAATCAATTAATGAGATTATCACAAGAATAGTACTTTAAACTTTCTGAAAGCGTTTTCAATCACGTTTGACAGCACAGAGTCAGATTTCTTCGCTGTCTGCTCCAATGCTACTGGTAGTTCAACTTTTGGATAATAAGTATCTAAAAGATTGATGTGAAGTTGGTTTTCATTTAAACATCTGAAAATTGTTCTTCCCATCAAGGGAGAAGCTATGCTTCTACAATACTATTAACGTGGTCTCACCAAGCATTCGGTTTGTTTCATCGTTCAAAAATTCCCAATTTTCCATCTTCTTCGCAATATCCTCCAATGGTTTGGTTTCAAGCGGAGCTTGAAGCTCTTCAAGTAAAATATTAAGTTCCATAACGATTGAAACGATTGTGAACCTAATATTTGGTCGACTGTTACAACATGGGGAGTTGTGGTAAATGGAGATTCGGTTGAAGTCGTAGTGGTAGTCGTTATGTTCATCGTTATGTTCATCGTAGAGGTTGTCATTTCAATTTTATTCGTTTTGTTCGTTTCTCCAGTTTCAGCAAATTGGATATCTATATTATGATTAAATGAGAATATTGTAATGAAAAATGGCTGAAACTTAAAGACAATGGAGGCTCTGAGCAGTTCTGTTTCATTTCTGGCGTGACTCTGCAAACGATGTTTCAGTTAAAAATAGAAAAATGAAAAGATTTTCAATTAACTTGAAGGCTTTTCCATGACCAGGGACAATGTAATCGGCATAACAAAGAACCTTTTCTCGGTTCATTTGACCAATCAAGGGATTCCATGCATCTTCATACCATTCGGTTCCACTCTTAGCATCTTCTTCGTTGTAAAACAAGTCGCCTTAAATGAGTTAAAAGAGAAATGACCATTTGTTTGCTTGTTCCTTTTATTTACACTCAAGTCAAAATAAACAAGGCAAAGTTCATTCCGATTGAATTTTGAACTCCCTTCTGTTCTTCTTCTCTCACAATTTCTTTTTTTTTGCGTTCTGCCTCTAGTCATGTTTTCCATTTGACTGTCTGTCAAACGTTCATGTGTTCTAATCTGGTCTAATAACTTCTATTATATCTCACTTTCCCTCATTTACATATGTCTTCCGAATGCTTACCCACAACTGCAACAGTTCCACAACATGGGGTATTGTGAACCATCACAGAGACATCCTGGGATGTATGTCCAGGAGTATTCCACAACTCTATGTTTCGAGTTATCTTCATTGTGTTATTCTAAACACCCTTTATTTTAGTCTTCACTGTTTTCTTCACCTCTCTCAACTCGGTGCTAATGAAGTTGTCATCTGTGTACTCATAGCTTCCGAAGAAGTGTCTGGCATTCGGGAAAAAATTTCCCTAAAGAATTACATGGTCTTATAGCAAACAAATGAAGTTCCGACCTGTCCAAAATGGTCGGGATGACCGTGTGTTGTCACAACAAATTGGACTTCGCCAGGAGAAATGTTCTTGGCGGCGATTCCTAACAATTCCAGCTCATAAGAGTAGATACAAACAAATCGGAAAAACCTCTCAAAAGTAATTCCTTAGCGTTTAGATTTGTGGCGGAAGGAGAATCGACAACCACATAATACCCACCATCAAAGATAATAGTAACTGAAGCCGTCATTTTTATTCCCTGAGAAGTGATACCTGAGAAAGATTATAATAATAGTTACCTACCTGATCAATCTTACTGATGTTTCCTATAACCAATTGCTGGAAGTAGGTTGGCATCAGTTTCTGTGTTGGTTCAACATAAAACTGAAAACACTCAGAAGAGTTGTTATGGAGAATCATTTGATAGTAACCTGAATGACCCTTGAGTGTGCTAAACATGGTAAGAGTGTAAGGAGCAAGGTTAAAGTTAAAGCTCTCATGGAGACGACGTGTTGTGGAAAGGCCAAGATGCTTTGTGATAATTATGTTGAAATGAATTTTAGGAGGAACAAGCTCCGCGCGAAAAGCCTGAACAGGAGGAGTTAAAACAATCGGCTAATTCGGCCAAGCACAGACAGAACTAGATGTGCTAATATTCAGTTACAAATAACTAGAAATTTTAAGATTTCCTTCACAAATGGTCCAACCAAAAAACAACTGACCGAACACAATCTTTGCAACTACTGAGGCAATCAGAGAACATGACCACGAGGTCCGGGGGCAACTGCACTGTTGTGCATCATGTGGTTGTTTCTATTGTCTCATATCCACTTCTAAGTGTATATTAAATAAATACTGCATTCATTCTGATTTTTTTTCGATGGAAGATCATAGGAAACAAAGTGAACCGCATATTCTCTTGTAACGAATAAGTCGATTGTGGAGAAAAAAATTTTATTTTCATTCATATTGTGCGACATCCATTTGTACAATGATACTTTTCATAATCATCGCCTAATTCCGCTTCACTTCAATTTGGTATGTTCGAATTTCCATGGGTCTCAACTCAACTTTGAAATCTGTATATGAAATGGAAACTGTTTAATGTTTGAATAGCGGAATAGAACCTCTGTTTCGGTTTGATCGCGATGAAGCAGTTACCTTCCTATTTCCCCCTAACTTCAACTCTTCCATATTGACAATTTCAAATTCAGTAAACATTTTCTGATAATGAAAAATTTTTTGGAATCAATAGGAATGCTACTTACATTGACAATAATTTCTTTAGGTTTACTGTTCTCCTTATCCTCTCCGCTCTGGTAGAGATGTTCCAATCGAAGTAGCAATGTGTTATCTTTCCATTTCTCGATGGACAACAAGTTCAAATAATCAGGCAGTGGATCTACAAGACCAGAGTACTAAAATATTTAAGATAATTAATCAGTTTCTTCAAATTCTTACAGATAATCTATGATTTTGTTTGAATTCAGTTACGTTCGAGACGTTTGTGAAGGAAAACAAAGGCTCGTGGAAGAACCGTAAAGCAGCCGGTCTGTGAACTGAAGATGCTTCCTATAACATTTTCATACGCCTGAGTTGAAAAATCTAGCTCACATTCAGATTAGTCAACAAGAGGATGTGGGAGCCACGAGCTACCAATCCTTTTCCAGTGGTTCCTGGTTCATCTAATGCTTCTTCGACACCCCAATGATCATCATAGAAACATCGACGGTGGACCTGTAGAATTGAGTTCAGTGTTTTCATTGTCAATCTTTCTCAGAACATAAGTTACGAAAAATGAAAAGCGTATTTTAAACGAAGATCCCTGTGAAACTAACCATGAGCTCTATGTATCCGTTGTCAGCAGTAGCTCCTTGAGCTCGATCGGTGAGAATAGTCATTTGATTGGAATCATCCTGAAAGAGTTCGTATTACTATAGAGGAAAAAATATTTAAGTTACTTTGATATACACTCGGTTCGTTACAGGATAGTAGTTTCCAGAGGTTGGCTCAGTATTCTGATAAGTGAATGATGGATTGAAATTTCGTCTGAATTGTTTTTTGTTTGTTGTATTTAGCGTCACCATTGACCATACGTTCTCTTCATCATTTGTCTTCCGCTGGAATCAGTGAAGAATTCCGAGCCGGAATTGATATCCGAGTAGTATCTCGTGACGATTTCTTTCGTTACAGGAGAGTCTTCTAATTCTTTTGGAATGGGACCTACTACCCAATCAAACTCGATTTCTGGCTTATTACGATGAAGGCGAATCATCTGGGTTGCCCAAGGGTTGATAACCTGACGAATTTCTTCTAATAACTCTCCCTATGAGCAAAACGTAGACAGAGATAACAATAAGACGACTGACTTTTACAACTTCCAACTTGCATGAGGTGCTTAACAGCTTAGGTTCTTCTGTTTTTGGACGGAAAATATAAGCTCCGGATGGCTGAGATGTTGTATTGTCAACTCCTAAACAGTCAGTTCTTTATAGTTCTAAGGTGTAAGCCAGATACCTTCGTAAAGTAAGAACTGTTGAGATAGCTTATGGGTTTCGTTCGTGTTCTTCATTTTTATATTTGAGAGTAAACCATTCTCATCGAAAAGAAGTACATAGAACTAAATAGAGGATAAACAGAAAGTAATATCTCACAAACATCGTTTTCTATGAACGTCTTGTTAGCTTCAGGGTTTCTGACGGGATGAGAGACGACAGTAGATTTTCTACAAATCCTTTTTTTTGAACGTTTCATTAAAACTTACAAGGAACTGGAATTGTTAACGAAGAAGGTAGTGTAGCCCAAAGGAGGAATAGTACAATTAACCGTTAATTCATATGGTGCTCTGTCTGCAGAGTTAAGTTGGTTACTGATTTGGAATGTTTTGGTTATCTTAAGATGAAATATGTCTTTATCGCTTTAAAATTGCTACCTGAGATTTCATAGCAACTTTGCTCTCGTTTTCAACTAAAGCGAACCGAGAGTAGTAGGGGAACCTGATGTTTCCTACGTAGTTTTGACCTGTTGGGTTGAAAACTGTGACAGCAAAACTTGCTGATTCTCTACAAGAATTTTTTTCTATTATGTTCGTGAAATATCCTCACTTCAGTGGAGCACAAATAGTTTCGTTGGATAAGAAGCAGGTCGAGTAGTGAGTTTGAACTCCGTTTTTCAATCCACGAGCGGCTAAGAAGTCATTGATAACTATCTAAAATAAGGTTCTTTTTCATCAGATGGAATGATTGCATCATGTGCAACCTCTGTATGGATGAATGAGTTGTGCAAACGCTTGACATAATCTTTTGTAACGTTTTCTTTAGCAGTTCCTCTGAATTGGATGGTAACGATATGTCACATGGTTTCAACTCACGTCACAGCATCATGGTGTTGGGCGAGAGCTGAAGCTTTTTTCATAATTGAGATACTCAGGTCGGATGATGCTCCTAAACCAGCCAAAGCTGCTAACCGGTTGATCAACTAAACTTGTGCATGGAACATTGCAACGTTAATATTCCTCACCTGTAGATTTGAACTAGCCTTTCTGATCATCTGTTTGAATGTTGGTCTACTTGAGAAGTATCCTGTCCAATAAGAATGGTCAGATGAAGCATAACTGTCGAATAATATTATTTGAACAAAATGGTCTATCTTACGGGAAAAAGTCATCGTCTTTACTAGTCAAGTGAGGACGAGATTTCATGAGGTAATCAACGTAGCATGAAGGTGTTGAGTAAGCAACTTCGATGTTCATTGAGCTCTATTTGATGAATTAAGAATATGATAAAGAATTAAGTTATACATTTGAATTGACATATTTGATCAGTTTATCTAAATTTGAATACCAGCTGTTGGCATTTGTGTATTGAAAATCACTTCCCATTAACAACATCACATGGTTGGAGCGTTGAACGGAAACCTACTTGGTTGTCAAAAGAAAATAGAGAGAAACGAAAAAAACCTGCTCTTTCACGTGCTTCTCGAAAGCTTTCAGTTTTTCGTTCACATTGTAACCTTCCATTTCAATATTATCCATAATTGGATCATCTGTTTCACCAGGAATAATTGAAGTTTCAAATAGTTAAGACTAACCTCCACAAAGGGCATCCCAACAAAATCCCTCTGGAGGGCCATAATTGTCTTGATAGAAGGCCCCTGTTAGAATTTGCGTTTCTGTTCAATCATTAAGTTCCAATATAATTCTACTTAACTTACTCAAGTCTTCTGAAGCGTTCCAGATAAACTCTAATGTCTTGTTCTGAAGGCGACTCTGTTTTTCGAGATAATGGATACGGGCGAAGAATAATGATGTGTATCCCATCTAGTCAATTGAATAGATATAGGAAGATTATCTAGTACTTACAAGAGCAAAAATATTGGCAAGTTCTTTACTATGACCAAATGGATCAATCTGCCAGGCCACTCTCGGAACACCGCACACCCCGAAGAAATCAGAAAGATGCTGAATCCTTTAGGTGATACCAGATGATATGGAACTATAATACCCTTAACCCTAAGGTCATCTGATCTATTATATCCACATAATGAGATGCTGCCTCATCGTTCTGCACCCAACCACCACCAATCAACTCAATTTGCCCTTAAGATAGAGATTTTGCAAACTGTTACTGATCTCGAATGATCCAAACCATTCTCAATAAGTAATTGGAGCTTATTGCGTTCGTTTTCGTTATGACTGCTCCACCAGCGATAAAGAAATCCTGTTTCAGCGAACGAAAACCTAGAAAGAGATAGAGAGAAATTCGACATTCCTCCCGAAATGCTTTTTCACCTCTTTGTGGCATCTTTCATAAGCTCATCAATAACAGTGTTGTAGATGTATTGAACACCAACAGGGACCAAGGTTTGTTTGGCTTCAAATTTTTATTTGTTATCATTACTTCAACTGTTTAAAAAACTCATACCTCCATAATAGTACTGATCGACAGTCTTGATCCACCCAAGATCATCATGGGTATGAGGAATCAAATGAACTTTAATAATATTTTTGCTTGTAGAGTATTGTGGACAATTCTGAAAAATCCAGACAATATGATTTTCATTCATTATTGTATGATGGCTGTCAACTTACATTCCATGAGCATTCTTGATAACTTTCTGCTATGAGAAGCAGAAAGATGAATAAAACTAATCGCATCTAACAATATGAAAAATTAAATGAGCAATTTATTGAAAATCACAAACATATGTATCAACATAGAACGATATAAGCTGAATGAGTTAGCGGAGTGAGACAATTAAAATATGTGATAAAGATTGAGAACAACAGGTCGTATGACATAACATTTTGATTACAACACCTGAAGACATTTTGAAATTGACCAGTGCAAATCAATCTTCATAGCAATAGCAAAGAGTTCTGAAAAAATATTTAATGACAGTTGTTCTAACCTGAGATATCAGTCAATTTATATCCGCAAAAAGTAAAAAAACATAGCTAGTCAAAAGGTTCTACACTATCTGCAAGATGTCACCGAACAGACAATTTCTTAAGAATGCATGTTTCAAACTGCAAAGTAGAGGCTCGGAGTATAGTCACATCGCCCGGAATAGACATGAGATATGAGTTTCATTGAGGCACACCTGAAAAAAAACAAACTCAGATGCGATCGTGCAAAATCGAAAATGCGATGGAAAGTGAAAACACTCTCTATGTGCTGAGTTCGTTGTGTTCTTGACAGATGAGTTAGTGGTTGTTCACATTGTCTTTTGACTGCAAAAAGTAACAAAGTGCTTATATCGCTGTTCACGGTGTAAAAAAGTTTTTGCTGAAAATTAAAAGTAGTTATGTGAAAGATTGGAAGTGAAGAAATATCATGTTTGACTGATTGAGTCTTCGCAGAGGTAGGCAGTTAAACGCTAAGACGAACAAAGCAAAAATATGATCCACAGTGATCTCAAAGGGGGATAGGTAGAGAGAGAAAGAGCTTGGGAAACTACCAGAAATGAACTGATGAATGATATGTGTGTATGTGTTTGTGTATACATCCACTTAATGAGAGTTCAAAAAAATATATTATCTCTTTAAGATAAAAGTAATAAATTGGAATCATGTCGCTGAACCTGAACGGATTAAGGATTATAGAGAGGATGATGCGGGGGAGAATTTAGACTGATATAGGTAAAAAGCAATCGAACAAATTTGTTAAATCCGCCACGCATAATCACAACGACTAAAGATAGATCGATTTGCAACGATATTTCTTTTTCTATTCAATTAATATATCTCAATCTCTTTCTAACAACTTTTATAATACCGTATCCATCGGAGGTGCAGTGTATGTGTATTCAACACAACTTATCCGTCTAACTCATTGTTTCTTTTGTTTTTTTCAAACTTTTTTTTTGTTTTTTTTCTGTATTATTAATATTATCGAATTCTCATTCAATAATTATACACATCAACATATATGACCATATATGTATTATATTTCTATTTTTCTTATTTAAATTGAAGAAATTGCGTGCTCTCCGGACTAGTATGTTGTTATGGTTAACGACAATCAGCAGTTTGATTGTCGCGACGACAGTTGAAGCTCAGTTGTGTAAGTCGACAACTAACGATGGTGCGTATCCTCTTTTTAACACATCCAACTGTTATTTGCAACACATAAGTATATGTATATATTAATAATACAACAAAATTTATACATTAAAAGAGGAAACTAACGATTCTGTTTCTTCCGTTCACTAACGAAGTACTCTGTAGACTAATCATCCATTCTCTTTTTTTTTTATTTTTTTTTTTATTCTTTCATAAGTTCCAATACAGATTTTTTAATTTTTCTTCTTCAGCTTTAACGGAGGCATCGACCATTTTGTTCGATTGTGAGTTCCATTTGAGATATAATATACGTGAAGTTGAATTTGTTTTCAGGGGGTACAACGGGATGTAAGTCCATGTTTATATGATAGAAACTGTATATTAAGTTATCTTTAAGTGACTGACGAAACTTCAACTCCATTTGATTCAACAACCACTGCGTTAGGTATATCACAGATGCTATATGATAATTTTCGCATATTCTTCAGATTCAACAACTCATTTAACAACATTCGATACGACTACATCCATCGAAACAACCACAGATCCACCTACAACAACTGTAACCTTTACTGATTCAACAACGGATGCAATAACCTCTACAGAAGCAGGTTCATCTACTACCGAGCAAGTTACAACTTCGAATCCAAGTACGTTGAAAATGGCTCAATCAATAAGATTATGATATTACAGCGTCTACTGAATCTTCGAGCAGTACCGCCGCCGAAACTACTGGGACTACGGATTCCTCTTCTACTGGCAGTACTGGCGGTGATACTACTGGGACTACAGATTCCTCTTCAACTGGGACTACTGGAGAGACTACTGGTTCCACAGGATCAACCGAAACTACTGGAAGTACGGACTCCTCTTCTACTGGGACTACTGGAGAGACTACTGGTTCCACAGGATCAACCGAAACTACTGGGAGTACGGACTCCTCTTCTACTGGTAGTACTGGCGCTGAAACTACTGGTACCACCGATTTATCTTCTACTGGGACTACTGGAGAGACTACTGGTTCCACAGGATCAACCGAAACTACTGGGAGTACGGACTCCTCTTCTACTGGTAGTACTGGCGCTGAAACTACTGGTACCACCGATTTATCTTCTACTGGGACTACTGGAGAGACTACTGGTTCCACAGGATCAACCGAAACTACTGGGAGTACGGACTCCTCTTCTACTGGTAGTACTGGCGCTGAAACTACTGGTACCACCGATTTATCTTCTACTGGGACTACTGGAGAGACTACTGGTTCCACAGGATCAACCGAAACTACTGGGAGTACGGACTCCTCTTCTACTGGTAGTACTGGCGCTGAAACTACTGGTACCACCGATTTATCTTCTACTGGGACTACTGGAGAGACTACTGGTTCCACAGGATCAACCGAAACTACTGGGAGTACGGACTCCTCTTCTACTGGTAGTACTGGCGGCGAAACTACTGGTACCACCGATTTCTCTTCTACTGGGACTACTGATTCAACGGGATCAACTGAAAGTACAGAACAGTCTAGTGGATCAACCGATTCCTCTGATTCTACTGGGTCCACAGATTCATCTGACTCCACTGGATCTACAGAGTCCTCTGATTCCACAGGTTCTACCGACTCATCTGATTCAACTAGTTCAACAGATTCATCTGACTCTACTGGGTCTACAGAGTCGTCTGATTCCACAAGTTCGACCGATTCCTCTGATTCTACTGGATCTACAAAGTCTTCTGATTCTACAGGTTCTACCGACTCTTCAGATTCAACAGGGTCCACAGATTCATCTGACTCCACTGGTTCGACCGACTCATCAGATTCAACAGGGTCCACAGATTCATCTGACTCTACTGGATCTACAGATTTGTCCGACTCTACAGGATCAACCGATTCTTCAGATTCTACTGGGTCTACAGATTCGTCCGACTCCACAGGATCAACCGACTCATCAGATTCTACAGGATCTACAGACTCATCTGATTCCACTGATTCATCAGATACAACTGACTCGTCCGATTCTACAGATTCTACTGGGTCTACAGATTCGTCTGACTCTACGGGATCAACCGATTCTTCAGATTCTACAGGGTCCACAGATTCATCTGAGTCCACTGGGTCTACAGATTCATCTGATTCTACCGATTCTTCAGACTCTACAGGATCAACTGATTCTTCTGATTCTACCGATTCTTCAGACTCTACAGGATCAACTGATTCTTCTGATTCTACCGATTCTTCTGATTCTACCGACTCATCTGATTCCACCGACTCATCAGATTCTACAGCCACACCCGATTCTACAGGCTCAACCGACTCTTCTGATTCTACCGATTCTTCAGATTCTACCGATTCTTCTGATTCTACCGATTCTTCTGATTCTACCGATTCTTCTGATTCTACTGGGTCTACAGATTCTTCAGATTCTACTGGGTCTACAGGTTCCTCCGACTCTACAGACTCAACCGACTCATCCGATTCTACTGGGTCTACAGATTCATCCGACTCTACAGGATCAACCGATTCTTCAGACTCCACAAGCTCAACCGACTCATCCGATTCTACAGGGTCCACCGATTCATCAGATTCTACAGACTCAACCGATTCTTCAGATTCTACTGGGTCTACAGATTCTTCAGATTCTACTGGGTCTACCGATTCTTCAGACTCTACAGACTCAACCGATTCTTCTGATTCTACCGACTCATCTGATTCTACCGACTCATCTGATTCTACCGACTCATCTGATTCTACAGACTCATCTGATTCCACAGATAGTAGTGATACCACTGAGGAGACTACTGAAAACCCAATCACGAAAACCACTAAAACTACTAAGAAGCCATCAACTCCCACTACCGGAACAACACCCAGATCTACAAGAACTACGCCAACAACTCCCAAATCGACGAGAACTACACCTACAACCCCCAGATCGACAAGGACTACGCCAACAACTCCCAGATCTACAAGGACTACGCCGACAACTCCTAGATCAACAAGGACTACGCCAACAACTCCCAGAACAACAAGAACAACGCCAACAACTCCCAGATCAACAAGGACTACGCCGACAACTCCCAGATCCACAGGAACTACACCTACAACACCTCGTACAACTTGGAGCACCAGGAGAACAGGATATCCTCATCCAAGTACAACTGCTTCGACTGCCAGTACGAAGGTGAAGTTTTCATAATTGTTCTTTTATTTATTTCTGATATTTCAGTTTGTCCAAACAACACTCTCAACCGTCAGTGATGAAAAACAATTCACATGCGATAACTTCGATTATCATTTCAGATTCGACCATGGACACTCTCTACATTGCTATCTACATCTGAAACAACAGCACCTAACCCTGGAGGTAAGCTGTTTTGATTAATATATTCTTGATCGTGGTGGGGAACGTTTCAAGGCTGCATAGATGGTTATCGTCTTGCTCAAAAAGGAGTCAAAGTCTCTAGTGGTGGAACAGGCAAATTCGGAGGATACTTCACTTACCAATCATCATGTCAAGAACTATGTACTCGTGATTACGGTCTAATGCGTTGCATTGGTTACGCGTATGAGCCCGACAATAAAGGCATTTTAAGAGCGAGTAATGTAACCTAACAACTCATTTTATAGGAAAATGTACAATTTATCAATACAACATTGGAAGGTTCGAAACTGTACCAGATGGAACGGCGAACGTTTACAGACGTTGTTAAGGCCAATGTTAAAGCATGGAATAGGTTGCTGAATGTCTTCTGATTGTCGTCTCTGATCCCTATTTTTTTAATAAAAATATTCTTTATCTGTTTATTTAGATATAAATTGGAATTTTTGAAGATAAACAATTGATCTTATTGCTTTGTTAACACCTTAATAATCATATATGAAATCGATTGGAATGAAAACGAAAGAAGGATGAGAATGTTGATTGGGGAGAGGGGGGGGGGGAAGAAGAGAGAGAGAGATATAGGATGTGAAAGAATAGATTGAAGGATAATCCAGTCAATCCGTTTAGATAATAAAACAACCAAATACTATACTGGTTCATTAACAATTCAATTTTTTCAATTATTATTTGTCATTCCTAAACTATTTGTGTCGGAAACGGATGCAATTATTCATTTTTTCCGTTATTGTTTATCAGATAGTAGCTGAATCATGTGAGTTTCTCTTAGCACATGCTCATAATTGAAACAAATTCCTTATGTAGGTACTCTTCGTCCCATATTACGAGGTGTTCACATAAAACAAGATTTAGGTTCCAATCGTAAAAAAGTAAGTTTTATCTTTCTACTATAACTATATTCTGCTTATAGGTATTCCCTAATGAACCTAACTGTAAAGAGAAATGCAAATCGGAGACAGATTTTGAATGTACTGCCATTGTATGGTCTTTGGAGGATGATTCCGGAGATTGCTATTTGCTAGATAATGTTAGTCGTTTACCAATGATCCAATGATTTTTCTGATTTTAAGGTTAACCTGGATGGAGAAATCTTTGTAGACAATAGACCTTATATTCTCTATGTAGATGTTTGTGGTGATGATGCCCCTCCTTCAGTTGGTTATTGTCAGTATCTGTTAACCCAACAGAATGTGGAGAAAACAACGTCCAACTCCATTTCACCAGGTTTCTCTATTCATTTCGATCACTCTCATTGCTACGTGTTAGGGTCAACTTCTCAACTTTCTTGTCACGAATTCTGCATTTCAAATTATGGAGGACGAGTATGCAATGCTTACATTGTTTCTGATACCTGGTAGTGAACTTGGAACTGAATCGTAATTACGTTCTTTATAGGTCTTCCACATGCACTCTATACAGTGTAGTTCCTGAAGGTCTGGCTACAGGAACTCAGAATCTTTGGACAAAGAAGTGTGCAGCTCCTCCAAGTAAGTGTCATATATAAAAAGGCTATCAAAAAGATATCTGCTTCGAGGAAACTGTGTTTATAACAAATGGACTGAGTGGTCTACCTGTTCACAGAACTGCGGCGGAGTACGAACACGCTCTCGCACAATCAAGCAACAACCAAGTGAAGATGGTGTTCAGTGCCTAGACAGCGAAATGAATGAAACACAAGATTGTGATGCAGATGTGATTCATATATATATATACACTGCTTACAACTATCTTAAGCTTTCAGTCGTGTTCTGAAATTTGTGTTTACTCTGACTGGACAGCATTCAGTGCCTGTAACTCGACATGTACTGAAAATGGCATACGGTATCATGAGAAAAATTAGATTTCTCTTCAAAAAATTAAAACAGATCACGATCACGAACATTGCAGAACGGAGATAGTGGTTCATGTTCTGAATTAACGGAAAATCAGGTTGTTTAAAGAATAACTAAACCCATCCCAAAATAATATTTGACTTTTCAGACTTGCGAGAAGCTTCCTAGTTGCTCTGGTAATTCGTGCGTTTTCTCACAATGGACTGGTTGGTCAGAATGTGCATCTGATTGTTACAATAAACGATCTCGATCAATCACGGTTGGATATACTTGATCCTACTTCAAAAGTTGATCAGGAATGGCTTAGGCTGGAGATCCTGACACATGTCCCGACGAATCTTTAGAAGAGAGTGCAGAATGCACTGGCGATTCATGCGAAGGTAGTTATAATTCGGAAGGATTGAAGTTAAGCTTCTAGTTGTAGACGATGATGGAGATTATGAAGACCCAGATGTTGATGAAAACGGTTTTTGTTTCTTACAGTTATGATGGTTGAGAAAAAAATTTTTAAGAAGGCTGCAGGATAGCATCTATCGATCCATCGAGCAGGCCATCTACTCAAGGAACTAAAGTATGATTTTCTTGATGTAAATTACACAATATTTGATAGAATGTAGGAACATCATCCAATTGTGCAGCTGCCTGTCATCGAGAAAAATCTTTTCTTTGCGAAGCTTTCATAACTACAGGTTAGATTGAAAAGCAGCACAGAAATATTCTTTCAAGGAAGTGGCGGGGTTTGCATACTGTTTGCCAAAATAGACAGCAATGTCGTTCAGCTTGTTTCAAGTGAATATTACTTACAAGATTTAAAGTGTGCTGTGAATAGTAAGTTTTAGAGAATATTCGAAGGCAGATTATTTAATTAGATAATCCTAATACTGGTATATGTCGTTGGACAGTAGTTGGCAATGGAGTATCTCCTGACTTCTCAATCCCTGATAGTTATTCATCCATAGGTTACTCAGACACAATGAACTGATTAATAACCTCTTCTATAAGGTTTAACAATAGATTCGAAACACTGTGGTCAATTATGCATGATGAACCATCCAATTTTCCAACCAACGCCTTGCTTATCTTGGGCATGGAATCCCGAAATACGTACTCGAATGAGTGTTTAAAGGCAATATTTCAAAATCTGTTTCAGCATTCACTTCTTCTCAACATAACTGTTTTATGTTCAACTATGACGCAGAGTCCAAAGCAACTCCAGGAGGAAGCTATATTCTTCATAAATTGGTGTGTGACGAATAGACAGTTTATCTGGAATGATATGCTTACGAATAAATTTATGTTTTAAAGTATAATTCAACAACCGTTCATCGAAATCGAGATAGTACCCATAACATTAAAAGTAACTGAAAGTAAAAAAAGTTCTCAAAATCATTTATGCTGATGATGATGCGAGATAGATGAATGCTGGCTGTCGCATACGATATTTAGACTCGTACTAGTATTTCTTGCTGACACATACACACAATGATCAAATTTTCGACAAAAAACTGCCAATGAGCGAGTATGCTACCAGCTTGTTTCGGAGTGTATGAATTGAGCATAATGTACATTATCTAATATTATCTGCTTGTAGGAAGCGTCATATTGCAATCAAACGAAAGTGATTCTGTTTTATGAGCATTTATTATGCTTACCTGTCTGATATGTTAGCTATCATACTCAAGTAATTGATTCGAAATTCCTATCCGAAGTTTCTGATGAATTCGAAACTGTCACTTGTTTGTAAGTTTATCTTAACACATTCAATTAAAACTAATTCATTTTTAAGGGTTAGTAATACTAGGTTCTGCAGTAGCTTCGTCAGATTCGGAAGGAACCGATTTCGTTTTTTCATTTGTTCGTAACGCTGATCCGAACCCAAATGTACCAAACCAAGTTCTATCCATTACTGGTTCATTTTTATGTCTGCAATTATACCTATTTTAACCTTTCGTTCAGTTCTAAATGGAGGAAGTACCAACAGTTGTAACTTAACTGTCACGTATAGAGAGACCTTTGAAGGCCCTGTTTCATACAAGAGTGTAATGGTTGCTCCACTATCAGCGGTTGATGTACTGTTCTTTGAATATTTACTTTCATGAATACTCTGACTATTCAAGATACCTATTCCATCCTTCTATGGATTTGCTTATGCTACTGTCGGTGGTGTTCAAAATCAGTTCCTGGCTCATGAAACTCTTTATGCACAGTCATCATGCCCTGTTACAGTTCTTGCAAACAACTATGACAACCAGACTCTTCAAGGAGAAACATTTACTGGTACAGTCTTGTTTTTTCTCCATTCGTTGAATTTTTTCTTTACAGTTTTCCCTAAAACCTTTGGTGGTTATGCTTTCTCTTTCTCTCTGCCCCCAGTAATGATGATGGAGCAGTATCAGCAAGTAACTTTTTTACCAACACAAGGCTCGGCTAACGTAAATCTGAGAATTCCGGAAATTCAAGCTTCACATCAATTTGCGGTAAAGACTCAGATTCAATGACAATGAAAATATGTGGTTTTGTTCACAGATTAACGACATCAATGGAACCTCGTATATTGCGTTAAAATCAAGCACGAAAAGTCAATCCATTACTTATCATATCACTTCTGATGCTCCGATCCAAGTCGAAAGTCAAGTGGGAACCTCAAATTACTCAACTGAATTTAGATAGTAGCCGGAGTAACATGTAGCGGAGCAATAATCAACTCGTGTGATCACATTTGTTACATGCCTCAATATATTGCCAGTGCAGGTGCTGTCTGCCTTAACACCGGAATGATGCTTTAATTGAAGTAATTTTTAGAATGCTACTACGACAATGTGATGAGGGATGATCACGTAACAGAATTATTGGACAACCAGTTATACGCTGACATCTCAGGGTCTTGTCAATCAGCTCAAACAGTAGTTACCCTTTAATGTATAAAATTAAACAACAATAATAAGAGCAGGTCATTCTCAATAATGGAAATGCTGCTCAAGAAAACAGTGTCTCTGGTCAGCAACCAAGCGAACCTCTTGTTTTTGACGGAAGCACTGCAGGTGCATTTTACGTGGAAGCCACGTAAAGACCAGTAGAGATATTCAACCTGTTTAATATCAATTGCAGGACAGCAGCCGTACATGTCAGTAAATACTTCGATGGAAGCGTTAGAGCAATTGGTTCTTACATCACAACAGTTCCATCTATAAGCCAAATGATTTCATCCTCCTCTTACTTCTACACAAGAGATCCCAACAGTGTTATGACAGTAAGTAGTTATTCCGTATACTTTCCAATTTTTTGCATTTTCAAGATCAGTTGCAGTAGGATGGCATGCAGCACCATATACATGGATGGCACTCTTGTATTCGGAACAAACTTCACTTACCACGGAAAACTGAATATCGGCAGCGAGTCTTACTACGTTTTGGCTCAAACTGTAGTAGATCCCGTAAATAGAAATACTTCTATTGTACTGTGAATTGTTTTTCATTTCAGGGCTTTCACACTCTTAGTTTCCGAGAAGAAGCCGCTAATAAGCAATACGCTTATTACATCAGAAGTGCAGATAACCGTTATGCATACACCGGTCAGATAAATGGTATTTTTGCTAAGTAATTATAATCGTTGATGTTGACATTATCTCATTTAGTTCCTAATGTGAACATAACAATACCGCCTACCACTACTCCCGGCCCAACCACTACAGCCAAAACAGTTATCCCTATCACTCAGTCGACGGTCAAGCCTATGACTACAGCTAAGGTCGTAACCACAGACAAACCTATCACTCAGGCGACAGCCAAGCCTATGACTACAGCTAAGGTCGTAACCACAAGCAAACCTATCACTCAGGCGACAGCCAAGCCTATGACTACAGCTAAAGTTGTAACCACGGACAAACCTATCACAACTCAAAGCCCTAAAAGTACAACATCGGCTAATAAAGGAAGTCCTGCAACAAGTCCTTCAGCCGCTACTACAAAGAATATCATCACTACTTCTCCATCCAAAGCTCCTCCAGCCTCTTCATCCACAATCGCCCCCCCACCGTCATCAGGAACAACAAAAACTGTACCAACTACTAAACCGAACACCACAACAATAAAGACAACAGTTCCCACCAATCATCTCTCTACTACAACAGAACATAAGTCATCTTCAGTTGTAGGTCGATTACTTTGTATTTTCCTTTTAGTGACTTGGTTATGAACCAATTGATATTTATAAGTATAAAATATAAAGTAAACTCACTCATGTTCATTCTTTCAAAATGAAAATGTACCCAGAGTTCCTGTTGAGAACGCAAACAACAGTTCTTGCTCAGGCTTAGGCTTAGGCTTAATTTAGAAGAACCCACTGTAAATAATAATAATTTTCTAATATACATATGTACATACAAACAACGATATATGGCCTTTTCACCTGAGATAACGACTTCTCAACCCTAGATTAGGAAATTCTGATTCGTCATCCAAAATGAGATTTAAGACATATTACAAGACGTGTTTTGACGTGAGGAATCTAACAGTGAGCTCAAATTTCGTACCTCTCAACTCTTTCAAAAGCTATGAAGTAAAAACCGTAAATGACGAGGTATGGCCTATTCACCTGTGTTTTGACCATAGTCGGAAGAGAAAAGAAAAAAGAGGGAAAATGAAACAAGGAAACTTAAGGAGGGATTTATTTTTCGGCGGTTACATCAAAGCCAGCAAACTTCTGACGCCCCCCGTGTCACGTGGTAGACATAACGTGATAGATAACTATTCATTCTTGTTCACGTTAAAGAAGTCTAACCTTATTTTATGAAGAACTCCTAAGCCTTTTTTATACAAAAACCAAGACCATGCGCAAACGGCAAAAGGGGCGGAGCCGGGGGGGGGAATAACAGACAAGATCCCTTATTGTTAATATTGTTCAATTAAAATCAAAAAATCTATAGTAGTCATTCGACAATGTTAAATTAATTTCGTTCTCACTCCCCTGGTCGTCATCATCATTTTCATCAATGGAAAGATTTTTAAGTTCTACAGTAGTGTCGTTCCATTCGGAATTCTTATATATAAGATACAATCCCTCTTCTGAATACTAGATAGTTTCTGTAGGTTTATTTATATGCTAATGCTTGCCA